AAAATTGACCAATATTTATAATTTATAATAAGATAGCATAACTGTCAATTCGGTCGACAAATACGATCAGAACCCCCAAAATGCCAAAAATTTGGGGGGACCGTTATATGGGGACTACCAGAAAAACTGGACCTATATTTATATTTTTTAGTGGAGTAATTTGGTACCCAATAAGAACCCAATGTACGAAATTTCAGAGAATTCAGTTATAAAACGAGCCCAAGAACCCGAAAATACCGAAAATTGGGGGAACCCTTATATGAGGGCTTTCCGAAGAAATGGACCTTTATTTATAATTTTTGGTATAAATTTTGGTAAGAACACAAAGTACCAAATTTCAGCGAATTCGGTCGAAAAATGCGATCAAAACCCCCAAAATACCGAAAATTGGGGGTAATCTTATATGGGGGATATCCGAAAAATGGACCTTTATTTATAATTTTTGGTAGGAAGATTTGCTACCTAATAAGAACACAAAGTACCAAATTTCAGCGAATACAGTTAAACAACGCGCTCAAGAACCTCAAAATGCCGAAAATTTGGGGGTACTCTTATATGGGAGTTATGCCTAAACGTGGACCGATTTTCTCCAATTTCAATAGGGTTCGTCCTTGGGCCAATTAAGTGACCTGTGCCAAATTTCATCCAAATCGGATCATAAATGCGACTTGTACTTTGTTAACAAAAATACATGGACGGACAGACGGACATGCATAAATCGACACAGAAAGTGATTCTATGCATATTCTCAAAAGGAACCATGGGTCTATCTCGATTATTTTTGCCTGTTACAAACATATGCACAAAGAGACATAATACCCTGTACCACAGTGTGGTGAAGGGTATACAAATCAGCGGGTCATGTCGATAACAAACAATTGATCACATCAAATATACCACTTGATAAATCACCTCTAAGTAGGGTACCAAGAATTTGCTAAATAAATAGAAAAAATTAACTCTAAAAAATCTAATATTGACACTTGTCTGCTATTGTTTACCCGCCATAACCACCGAGAAATACCAAAAACACTGACTCACGTTTTGTACCGAAAAATAAATAAAAAACAAAATAAATGCCTGAGCAAAGGGCAGTCAATTAAGATTTCAATAATTATCGTTACATGACAACTTCATTTTTATTTTGCGAAAGTGAAATTTCTATGAAAGGGAGATCGAGAGCGAGATGAGGGAAAAACAAAGCTGCTTAATGACCAAATCGAGTTGTCTAAAGGCACGTGTTTATCGTATGTCAAGAATAGCGAAGTTTCAGGTTTTAGTTTTCTTCAATCATCTGAATTAGAATTAAATCCAACCGGTTTCGTGATTTTCAATCCAGACGAAATAATTAGTATAAAAAAATCCCCTATTAATATTAAATTTATGAGGAATATCGATTAATAATATTTTTTTTTTGGTTACTTGATTTCAAATAAGGAAATATTTTATTAACTGTCATTTGTTTTTTTGCTGAACGATAATTATAATTATGTCTGTGTTTTTATAACTGACACCTTATAAGTATCTATAATTAACGGGAATGATATTTTATTTGGCATAGAGTTTCAAAATAATTGTTAAGAACTCTCAAAACCAGACATTGCCAGAATACACAAAGTCTGTCTACATGTGGAGCTCGTTTTGGCTGCTGCTGAACCATTTCAAGTGCCATTCTTCCGGTTCAACGTCACTTTAAGCCACTAGGAACTCAAGAATCAGTTCGGTTGGCAATAACAATAAATTAACTAACCATCAATTGATTTTTGTCAATTTGGTTTGTTTTTGTTTCTATTTCCAAATGCTATTTTCGAAGCCATACAAACAAATTGTTGATTTTTTTTTGCAAAAAATAAAAAAGCAGAGTAAATATTACCATCATTATTTTTATTGGCAATCAAGCGCACACAGCCAAACAGCTGTTGAGTCATTAATAATCACCTGAAATGTGTTTTCTTAACAAATTCACAACAACAATTCACAAAATTAAAAAAAAATAGATGCAAAAATTAAAAGCCTTGCCGAATATTAAACACCTTAAAGACAGCACATAGAATGAAGAAATAAATTAATTCAGCATCAAAGCAAGAAACCATTAATTATAGCCGGTTTTATGACGATTTTCTTGTTGTCGTTGTTTTTGTTGCATTAAATTTATAACCAAATTTTATTGTTTATGACCTACACCAACCACTATGCAGTTAAATCGCATCACGAAAAAAAGAAGAAATAAAATTAACACCACTTCATCCATCCATTGACGTAGTGTTGAATACATAGTTTTATTTCATTTTATGAATATAAACAGAATTAAATAAAAAATATATTTTTATTAAGGAAATTTTTCCATCGCGTATGTTCCATATTTTCGTAAAGTAGGTTTGCGCCGAATATAGGCTATTTTGTTGCCTATTAAAATAATGATTCAAACAATTAGAAATATGCCTGTTTTATAAGGATCGGCACATAAGTTTACTCCGAAAGGCATGGCCGGGGATGTTGTCACTGCAGGAAAGGAGAGAAATATATGGGAGATATAGTCTGGATCTAAATACAAAATTTTACTAAAATATACAAATTCAGCGTGGCTTGATGAAAATCCAAATATTTATTATTAAAACAGTTTTATTGTTTTTCACAGAATTCTCCATATATGTACCAATTGAGATCCTAAGCAAATCAAAAAATTCTTTATTGAACTTCTCAACACCATCTTTTGGCTACGAAACTCGTTGTCAATGCATTGTGTCCTTGATGTTTGGGAATTAAAATTGTTGAATATTGTGAATTGATTATATTGGCAACACATATGTTTATTAGAGATTCCTACATTATGCAGATACGATTAGCAATTAAAGGTTACTTTTTTGTATTTATTGTTGTCCTCGGAATGATGTAGAGTTTACTCCGAAGGTTTTTTGGCCGCTATATCGCCATGAACATAATGGCTGCTTTAGATTATTGGAAATAAATGTATGTAATCGCAAAAAAGTTAGAAGATTCTAGAATTAGCTAGGAATGTAAGTTGATATAAACTAGTTAGAATTCGCCAGTTTGTAAAGTATCGCCGCCACTGTTAATACGTAAGTTTGCCAACGCCCTGTATAGTCTGTGTTTTATTTATTCGTCGATGCAGAAATTATTATTCCAACAAAAATAAATCATTGAGTACCAAGTAGGGATATGTAGTTCGATTTTCGACTAATCGACCTTTTGTATTGAAAAATCTAATAGTCGAAGTCGACCTTTGATCATTAAGGAAATCGACCTTATTTGTTTTATTATCACAAAGCCCAAATTGTCCAAAAATTACACATTCCAGAACTTTATTTTATCTGTTGACAACAATTCATATAAAAAATCAAATTTTTAGTCGATTTTAAACTTGTTTTAAAAGGGACAACATCGAAAGATCGAAAAGTCTATTTTTTAGTCAAAGACAAAAATCTAAAGGTCTGAGAATCTACTTTTTGGTTAGAGGCAAAAATCGAAAAGTTTAAAAGCCGACTTTTGCGCTCGATTAGTATTCTTAGTGCCAAGCCGGCTCATGTCCCAGCAATTTACGGTCTACCAAAAAGAGCCTGCTTTGAACCGCTTTGCGTGAGCTCATATTGCCATGTTGCACAATAATTCGTCTTCTTTTGTTCGTTTTTCAATTTTCTCCAAAGATTTTTGGCCAACAAATTGGAATGTACCGTTCAGAATTGATCGTTCTACGTAGCTCAGGTGGAAAAATTTGAGTCAAAGTGTTTTTTACGACAATTTTTTTTTTTTTTTTTTTTGAATTTTACTCTTCTTCGAAGGCACACACGATCGATTGCTGTTTTGTTTCGGATTCGTACACACATAGATCTATGATTTCACGGTCTACCAAAAAGAGGCTGCTTTGAACCGCTTTGTGTGAGCTCATATTGCCATGCTGCACAATAATTCGCCTTCTTTTGTTTGTTTTTCAATTTTCTCCAAAGACTTTTGGCCCACAAATTGGAATTGAGACACACACGAACGACTGTTGTTTGGTTTCGGATTCGTACTCACATATTTCTATGATTCGTCAACTTCGTCGTCATTTGAAGCATCCCTATCGCCTCGATCATTGTATGTTCACGTTCAATGCACGGTGGTAGAGTAGGATAATTCCGCATCGAACTAGTTCATGGGAACTATTCCGATAAAGGAACGATAGAAACTAGGTTCAGTTCTTTAGTTCCTATAGTTCTTTTTTGTGATCTCGTTTCAAAAATTTCTGATTTCAAAAATTACTTTGTGCTAATCGCCTTGCAGTTTGATTCTGTAGCTTCTCTGAAAATTTTTCTAAATAGAAATTAATTAAAATCAAATTTTTTTCCTCAATTAGTTCACTTTTTTCTTCAACTCAACACGCAAATTTTCGGAAAAAAAAACAAAAAGAACTATGTAAAGAGAAGAGATGTCTTTGTTTTTGTATATGAAACTTGGGAACTATATAAAGGAACTAGTTCCTTTTTAACAAAGAAAGGGGAAAGATCAATCCGCTATGTGAACTAGATTGCCCTACTTTATTCAGTGACACATGGATTTTTCAAGCCAACGAAGCAACACAACACATGACCGTACGCCAAACCGCAATGGGTTGGTTTTTGCTAAAAGAAATCCAAATTTTCGAATGGAAATGCAAAATCAGGCATCAGGTAACCATCACCTGTCAGGTTTAAATAATCAAATATTGAATGTGAGCGAATTTTTTAAGATTCAAAAATGTAATTCTCCTCTCAGAGACTCGACGGAACGCTCTAAAAAAAATTCTATCCTCATAACAAAAAATTCAAAAAGTTTTTATTAAGCATTTTATATATTAATCGCAAAAGAATTTATAATATTTTTTTCGAAAAAAATGTTGTGAATAAAGCATTTATTGTGTTTATTAAGATAAAAATAATACGTGATACATAGGAGTAATTAAATTAAATTATCTTTTAAAAACATCATATAACATAAAACACCATACCACATGCCATATGAATTTACTTAAAGCGTATAAGTAGGGTGAACACCGAGTAGGCATACTTCATTAGCTGTAATGAAACAGAAATAAATATACAAATAAGATGAAAGTGCTAAAACAATCTTCAAATAAAGACCGTACATACTGATTCATATTTTCTTTATATGCAATTTTGTTATTCAAAATTATTAAATAGATATGCAATTACAATACAATACTTGTGGGGAAAACATTAAGTACTGCCAATAAACCTTTAATTATTCAAGTTATACTATTTGCAATTAACTGAATTTTAAAACATATAATTGTATTAAAAAAAAAACATTTTTATGAATGTCATTTAACTACCACTAAGATTTTTTTCATTCAACTCATTTATATGAGTTCAAAACTCCCATTCATTCCTCACTCACAATACCTACCACAACAAATGTTGGCAAATCGACGGGAATATATGAACCCGCCAATATGGTCGATGTCCTCTGTGTACGCATTAAGGTGATAATAAGATTTCGTTTAAATTCCGGTGCTTGAGCTAACCAACCGCACGAATAGAAGGCATACGTCAAATTTGAACTCTGCAAACTCATCATGTGGCCGAAGTAGCAAATTACAAATGCCTCCAGCGTCACAGCAACAAAAAAGATGATTGCCATTAATTGGGCCTCATAATTGGCGGCATCCATCACGTACATAAAATGTAAACCCACTGTGCATTGAACCAATGCCGAGCAGGCAAATTGAGCCAAGCACGCCTTGGATATAATACGTTGGATAATCGAGTGAAGTCTGTGAAGGGAAGAGAGAATTTTTAGAAAAAAATATTAAAAAAATGTTTTCTTTTAGAAAAAATTGTCGTCAGAGCCTGAGGACTTTTTATATATAGGAAAAAAATTTCGTCAGGACCTGAGGACTTTCGACAGAACAAAATTGTCGTCAGGACCTGAGGACTTTTTTCTATGGAAAAAGATTGTCGTCGGGGGCTGAGAACTTTTTTTATAGAAAAAAATTGTCGTCAAGACCTGAGGATTTGTTTCTATAGAAAAAAATTGTCGTCAGGAATTGATAACTTTTTCTATAAAAAAAATTGACGTCAAGGCCTGAGGAAATTTTTTTTGGAGAAAAGAAAAAGTCGTCAGGACCTGTGTCGTTAGGGCCTGGGGATTTGTTATAGAAACAATTTTTCGTATTGACTTAAAGTATTCTTTTCTTTTGGAAAAAAATCACGGCCTGGCGATTTTTCCATAGATGCCCTGAGGACTTTTTCCTATACATCAAGGAGATTTTTTATACAAATCTAATCAAACATATATATTTACTTCAAAATATTCAAATAATCCTTAATGCATTCATTAAATTCCTTCAAACATTTCCTTTGCTTCTCTCCGGACAATGTGAGTACTTCCTGCATATCATCCTCCACTGAGTGACCCACTGCTTTCACACGTATTTCCAATGCTCGCATGTGAGCCGACAAAATCACCAAATATGCTGGTGGATAAGAATCGTTGGCAACATTCTGCAGGGCCTGTACAGCCAACGCAAAAAATTGATAGACAATAACCCCAACATAGGTCCACAAATTCTCTTCCCAATTTACACCAAACCAAGCGGGAAACAGTAATGAACGATTTTCGGCCAAGACGACTTTTACGACACTCAGTGTGGTGCCAAACGAATAGAGACGGAAAAATATTAAAAATGAAGATTGGGCCATGGAGATGGCCGATTTTAAAACAATGAATTCTTCATTGCTCTGCACCCGGCGATCCAATTTACGTAGAATACTTTTGATGCGATCCAATTGATGACGAACAAAATAGACGTTGACGAATTTCAAATTTGACTGACAATCACTGATGGTAATGGTGAGATTTTCACACAATTCTTGTAGAGTTTGTGAAAAGAAAACTTTGATGATCAGTGTGAGGGGAAACAGTAAAGTGACCAAAATATTCAAAACAATGGCGTAGAGTTTATACAATTCGGGATTTATATCCTTGAGAGGTTTAATGCCCGTCCAACGCCATATTTTCCAATGATAACGAAAGGCTACGTTGGTATCGAGATTGAAGTAAATGTTGTCATTGTTGTTGTTACTCTTGGCAATAGAGTTGGCCATCATTGCTTGCCGGTCGTAGGTCTTGTTTGGGAAACTTTGTGTTGGCCAATGAACGTAAAATGTTGTTCAGTAAAAATATGTCCCATCGCTTGTTTCTTGGAAATAATTATGACAATTCGTATTTGCAAATTACAAAATAGAAACTTTTAATTTGTTTCCATTCTGTTTGCAAATATTTGTGTAATAACATTCCAAAACTTTCAATTGCTGTAATTGCCAATATTATTATAAAAACAATAAACACTTTAGAAACTCAAATTAAGTTGGTCAGTTATTTGAATATATTTATGTGGAATTGTATGTAACTCTTACAATAAACATATTTACCATTAGAAAGTTAAATGGGTATCAATATCAAGTCGTTCAAAATACCTAAAATTGGCTGGGAACCTTATATGAGGTCCATGTGGGTGCTGTGTGTCTATTTTAAAACGAATTTCTTCGAAATGCTTTATACCCACCAATAACATGGGGACCCAAAGAATGGGAAAATTTATTCTAGTGGTCCTGATATTCAAATCATTTCCTTTATGCTGATAAAGTGTTAAAAAAATACGTGAGTTCCCACACGTCGTAATTTTGCGATTAGAACACGTTTTAGTGTTGTTATCGATTTTCTCACAATACCTGTTTTAATATTTTCATTTGTTTTGTGTTCCTTCTAAGTTCAATGTCTTGTGTTTTTTTTTTTCTTTTTTGGAAACAATAGGAAAATATTCAAAGAATTCAGATGACAAATTTCTAAATGCTAATAATGAGACGGACGGCGCCATGCCAATAATTTAATTTATTTTGTAAACTAATTATCATAAATAATAATGTGTATTAGAGTGGGTAAACAAAATTTGAAATAATTTTACACTAAAATAATAAAAAGCAGTGAGCGGAGTAGTATATTCGGAAAGGCCGATCATATGATACAACTACCACAGAAGTCTAAGATTCTGCGGATCTATACTCCGGCATTATTTCGCGATATTTGCATTCTAACTAAGCGACCGATTGTGCGTCAAGAGCTCATCTTTCTAACCTTGCATATTTTTCAAATTTGTTTTCCCGAGGCGAATATTTACGCCATAAAATACAAATTTGTTCACTTTAGGTTTTGGTTGATTTGACCCTCGGAATATTGACCGGCCATCAACTAAACATCCGTTCTAAGTATTTGGTCAGATCACCTTCACCATGTGAAATATGTGATGTTCTGAAAATCTCACAAAAATAACGTTGTTGGTCCATTTCATCCCCAAAAATTAACGGATCATTTCCAAAAACAAAAGAGGTCTATTGTGACAATTGGTCCATAACTGTGGCTGTATCGTATTTATAAATTATAATGGACAGACGGACGGACGGTCGGACGGACACACATGTCTAGATCGACTCAGCTAGTCGACATATGACGGTCGGTATACTTAAAGATGGGTCTAGGACCAATATTTCACGGCGTTACAAGAAAGAGATATTTAGTTTTTCTTAATATTATGTCATGTTAGTTATTTTTAATATTGTATTTAATTTGTCTTTACTTAAAATTTATTTTTAATAAATTACAACAAAATTAATTCTCTATTACCCACTTCAATGTACCGACAATAACATTCTGAAGTATTGTTTTCATACGTTTCTCTACTCTGTTGGTTGGTATGGCGTCCAGCATTCTCCTTTATAATTTAGTGTAATTGATAATTTCATCAGAAAAACTAGTTTTGTATTACAGAAATGTTTAAGCTTTTTTTAATATTATGTCATCTAAATTATTTTTATTAAATATAAAATTTTGTTTAATTTTCTTTTTTTTCTTGAATTACAACTACATTGATTCTCTTTGACCCACTTCAATGTACCGACAATAACATTCAGAAGTATTGTTTTCATACATTTCTCTACTCTTTGTTGGTGTGGCGCCCAACCAACAATCACCTTTGTCTTATGAACTTTCCATTACGTCAGATATTATTTTTTGACTTCATAGTTTAAGAAACAATCAATTTTCTTAACGAAATAAAATCAAATTGAGTATCTTTAGGCTACTTAATTTCAAGACAGGTTCACATTTTTTCTCAACGAACAGGTTTTTGTTTTGGGGGGTTTGGTTGCTTCGTGCAGCATTGTAAATCGTCATGTTAAGACGATAAAATAAATTAACTATACAAATAATGCTATTAAAACTATTTTGATGAACATGTTGTGGCTGTAGTTGAGTTAATATGTAACTGTTTATTTTCTTTAACTTCTTCAATGACTCAGAGTCATAAAAAAGAGTTGTAGTATGAAATAATAGTCATGTTTTTTTTTTGTTATTACTATTATAAAAAACAAATTGATGCAGTGCCATATTGGTTCGAATGAGCATCGGAACAATTAAAAATGTCTCAGTTGGCTTCTGGAGATCTTCTGAATTGCATACAGGTTTTATTATTTTTATTGGGAGTTACCAAAGAGAGTGAAACAATGATTACAATCTTCGCAATTGAACTAGCTTTGGTAAAATATTACAATTTGCCAAGTTTGGATAACATTGAACATCCAATTCACTTGATATGGGATTAACAAATGTAAAAAATGTTGAGACTGTGGGGCAGGCGGTCAGACTGACGGCCGGACTGTGGTCCTGATATTCGACTTCAAAGTGTCTGAAATAGATTTGGTTCGAAGAAACATTTGTTCTAAAACCAATATTACGAATAAAACATAAAACTTCAAATATTTCAACATAAGAAAAATGGAATTAAAAAACTACAGTCATAAAAAAACCCAATACATGGTCATACATAAAACTTTACCGAGTACGTTTATGATACGAAATGTCAACATTTCCAATGGAAATTCAAGATGGCGCCATACAACATTTAGTGTTGCCTAGGCCAGAAATATATTATTGGTACGTAAGTCCATAAAGTCTTTAATACAACCCTACACATCTTGTTCCTAATCAAAATGCTACAAATTTAATTTCAAAATTCTGGTGTACACAATTATCTTGCGAAGATTCAAAATCAATCTCTCTCCCTCTTGTCTTAAATATTGCAAAGTATATTACCGAGATTGCTAACGATTTGTTGTCTAGTGTAGTCATAAGGAATATTTTGCTCCATCTTTAATATTTTACAACATACTTGAGAGAGAAAAATTATAGTAGTTAATGTTAGTTATGAAAGCTCCTAAAAGTATGCTATAAATTGGTTATGAGCACTTCTCTTGGAAAACAATGAGACGAAGTAACATTTTGCAAATGTCGTGTGTATTAAGGTGAACCGTAGGCAAATTAAAGCAAATGTTTAACCAAAAAAAAGTAATATAATAAAATGTACAAAGGGTTTTTATAGAGTTATTTATTTAAATTTTCATTTGTATACAATAATAGCTTATTACAAATTACACAAAAGCTTATTTTTAATAGCATAAATGAAATTTTTGTGTTGGGTTTTTTGTTTCTTATAAATATCACACAAATACCATCATACAGCTTAAAAAAGAATTTATTATCATTTTTTTTTTTTTTGAGATAAATCAAATTCATCGTAGCCAATGGTTTTGATTTACAGAAATTCGGATTTGTTTTTGTTTAAAATTCTTCTACATTGTTTCTTCTTTAGGTGGTGTCCGTATTGTGACATTTTATTAAGATTAATGAAGTGTTAATACATGTAAATGTGATTTGATTTTTAGTGAGACTATTTAATATTTTATTGTAAATATTTGTTGTAATTCTAGCTCTAATTGTGCTGTGAAAATGGGAAAATGAATAAAGAAATGCAGATATACAATTAATTACAGTGAATTTGTTGTTGTTTTGTGTTCGACTGATCTTAGAACTAATGCGACATACATATATTGTTGTTGTTCGTTTTATTTTTTTTTTAAATTAATGTTAAAGAATAAAATAAAAGTTAATTATTATATTGTTATTGTTGTTATTATTATATTTCGAAGAGAGTTAAAAGTAAATATTAAGAAATAAAGCACCAGGGTCGACATCACTTTTTATGGACAATCTCCATCGCCAGTTTTTTGGTATGCTGAAAGTACAAAAAATGTTATTATAAAATAAATTATAAAGATAATTTGTTACTCACAGGTCTTTCGCAAACAATTCTCTGTCTTGATTATGCACATATTATTAAAGGTTTTGGTATCTCCACTATCATCTGTGCCGCACACGGGCTTATAGTCCTGCAAATCACAATTGAATTCACACTCCGTATCTCCGGGTGCTGGGGCTGAGTGCACGAGAGTAATGACAAAGATGGCCACTGGAAAGTAAAAAAAAAAAACGAAAAATAAATATATTTTGAAACAAAATTTAAATTATAAAAAACATTTTTATTGACTTATAGATTTCTATAAGGTTAGACAAAAACTGCGATACTAAATCGAAAATAAGGTCGTATATTTGCCGAGGCCATTTAAGAACATAGGAATGAAAAAAACTTCAAAATAAAATAAAAGTAATCTTTGTGTAGCTCTTTCCTCGATGCCGTTTTTCTTAATCATACCGTCCTCTATTCATGTGCCTCTTCAATTTTTGGCAGAGAAATGAGATAAAGAGTTAGGTCTGACTGCACAAAAAACCAAGTCGAGAGCAGGGAATATGCCAATAATTATTATTTCACAAATCGAGGTGTTTCAGGCTAATTTTTATTGACCGCACGAACATTTAGCTATGACTATTGATGCCTCTGATATCGTCGACTTAAATGTTGATGAAACATTATGATAACGACGTATTTTTTTGAGAATTATATTATTTCAAAATCCAGATATAAATGCACTCCGCAATCTCTAAACAGCCTTTGGGATCCAACTGTAAGAATTCGAAATAATTTTTATTTTAATATTTTCTATAAGGATATCTCGTTGTGTACCCTCACTTTTTTTTGCTAATGAGGATATATATTTTGCTACGACAAATATAAGTCTTACCGAAATATTGGTTTCAGATCACAAGCTACTTTGTACCAAAATTGACAATTAGGTACCTCACCCACAAAATGGTTGAAATTTCTCTGAAAACTAAATTTATAATACCATGCAAACGGATTTTCCGATTAATTTACACCAAATCAACTGAGACCGTATAATAATGGGGTTTATTGGTCCAATCTTTGTAGTACCTCACCTACATAGGGTCAACATTTTGAGAAATTTTAAGCCCAATATCGACCGATTACAAATTTCATCCAAACAGTACAAATTGAAATATTTTTATCAACTTAGCACGAGGATGGGGCCGATCGGTCTATTTTTTCCAATACCCCTCTCACAAAGGGTCAACAATTTTAAAATATTGTTAATCTCATAATAAGTTATTTATTTTTTTTTTTTTTTGAAGATGGGGCTTATCGGTCCTCTCCTTTTAGTACCTCTCATACAAAGGGTCAACTTTTTGAAAATTGTAAGCCCAAAATCGAATGAACAGCATATCCAATTTCATCCAACCCATATATATTGAAATATTTGTATCAATTGAGTCCGAGGATGGGACCCATCGACCTTTTCTTTCTATTCCTCCCTGAAAAAGGGTCAACATTTTTAAATTTCTTTAATCTCATATGAAGTGACCGAAATTTCTGATTTCGTCGAAACGTTGCACATCGTAATATTTTTCCCAAACATAGATTAATTCCGAAAATGGCACCGATAGTTTACTCTTTCTAGTAGCTCTTATATGAAGCGTACGGAATTTCCGATTTTATCCAAACTTCACATTTACTTTTTTACTAATTAAGTCCGAAGATAACACCCATAGTGTCAAAATTTTGAAATTTTGTAATCTAAACATTTAAAACTAATCGATCCACATTTTGAAAATTCGAACCTTGATCAAATCAGACAACGAGATCGATGGATTCCCTCCTTCTAGAAAATTTGTAAATTTCATATGAAGAGTATCGATTTTTATTCATTAATTTCGTATCGTAATATTTTCTACAATCGTTAATCGTTTATTTTGAACGTGAATTAAGTCCATTTTTTCTAATATTGAGGCATTTGAAGGTTTGGGTTTGATTTGTTTCAAAAATATAGTTAAGTGGTATAAAATATGTTTTGAAAGCCATGATTTGTATCAGAACCTAAAATGGACTTAAACCACTTTCAAAATATGCAACTCAAATATACATTATGTTCGAAGATGGAGTTCTGCAGCGTAACTTCTCCTAGTACAATCCCACAGATTGCCAACTATTTGTCACAATTTTTAAAAATTATATATTTCATTAAATATTCCTCCACCCTAAAACTAGACAGCGATTGATTCCATTGCCCTGCGCAAACTAATATAGCTTAAATGTGTCAGTTCGGATAAGATAAGTGGAATCAGAATATAACATAGCTACCACTAAAGTAGTCTTCTCCTATTGCAAAAACTTTTATTGTTTACTTAAAACATTTAAGAACATTTTTTTGGCTATTATTCTGTATTCGTCAACGGCGGGAGGAATGCATTTCTTAAAGATATTTATGAAATAAAAAATGCGATTATGGTTATAAAATCGGCAAAACAAATCATAAAATTAAAGACAAACATATATAAAAAGCAATGCTATTTTCTTAGGAATAAAATAATGAATGATTAGATATTTATTATGGCAAAGGTTAGTTGAATGATTTTTTTAGTAAAAAATATAACCTTGCTCATTAAACTAAAAATGCATTATATATATTCGAATTTAAAGCAGACAAAATACGATCCTCTTCCTTCAAACAAAAAAAAAAGAAAAGAAAAAAATCAGTGCACATATGATCTCTCATATATGTATATAGTTTATAAATATACATTGCCAAAAATCGTCTCAAGGTTACAAATCATATTGGAAAATTTCCATTGCCTTTGAAACTATGCAAATTCTAGAGTTCATTGTCCGACCTCTATTTGAGACATAGAGAAAGAGAGGCAAAGTGAAACAAAAAATTAACACACAAAATAATATTTCAACAAATGCGAACTCTGTACGAATACAAGTAAATCTATGTACATACAAACGAATTTACGCAGATTGTTTCTAATCACAAAAATTGAGGCAGTGAAATGGAATGAAATCATCATCAATGAATAATAATTTCCTGATAACACAGTTTTCAAATGAAAGCAAAACGAAGAGAGAGAAAAAACACGAATCTTATATAAATGTCTGTCGTCAGAGGCGAGGAACAAAATTCACAAAAAATTGCGGTATTCAAATTGAATTATGCATTGTGCGATAAACGCTTTAATTTGTTATTGAAAACAAATAAACAAAATAAAATAAAAACACACCCATTATTAATACATATATCAAAGTGGTGAATGATTGAAGCAGTTCATAGAAATAAACATTTAAATATTTTATGGGATTTTTATGATTATTAAGTAATTGTGCGCGAACACACACACACACACACATTAATATATAAGTACGTATGCACTGCCACAGAATCCTATTTGCAATGTACTCGGCTCATTCCGATGAATTGTTGTGATTTTAAAAATTCATTAAAAAATAAATAAAAACGCATAAGAATGTAAATGACGCATCTCATTTACGACTGGGAATTTACAAACAGCCCAGACCTAGTGGCGACAGCAAAGTCGGTCCGGTCTCATGATGTATTCCATCATCATCAGCATCATTGGTCTCGGCTGCATTCAAAACCAATTTATAGTTGTTGTTGACATTTAATGGTAATATTTATCGCGTTATCCACTTTTCACAATTTGTATTCCCTCTAGGCGATAATTACAATGTTTTCTGTGGTATCATTGATATGGAATATAAAATGGATAGTTATAGATGTTGGTGTATGATGACTAATTTGTAAATGATCTGATTTGTGTAATGGTATTAGTTATTAGAAGCAAATGAGGATACTTATATCAATCGATATTTTCGTGTTATAATAAAAATCTAGTACATATTTTACATCATTTACGAATTTAAATTTGCAAAGAAATATAACCAACATTTGCCGGAACTATTTGAAGATCTTAGATCGGATCCAAAACAATACAATGGGCAAAGTCATGCGGAACAGAATGATCATTTGCATTTCCTTAACCCTTTCAGTGTCAAAAAAAATTGTTGACGGAATAAAAATCTAAAATTTTGTATTTAAAATCATATAAAGGCATAGAATTTAGGAAAAATAGCAATTTTCATTTTAACCCTTGGACTGTTTTGTCTGTTTTTCAGCAAAAACAAAAACATCAATAGTAACGGTACATAGGATAACCGAAAAATTACTTTCAAATGTCGAATATATTCGACAAAAACACTGAAAGGGTTAATCTAGATAAGGCCAGCGATTTCTTGTTCACAATGTTAAATTTAATTTTAAAATTTATATATCTTATAAAAAATTACTTCTTTGAAAAAAAAAATAGTTTTTGTATGAAGTTTATAGAACAAGTAAATCAATTAAAAATAAATAATTTTTAGAAATTCACTGAGACTGTTTTCTAGTAGTGGTGTTAATATTGTAAGGAAAGTGAATCTTTGAAATATGTATATGTATTTTGAATGATATTTTCAATATACATACACATTTTTTCCTAATAATACAATTTATAAATTTCTAAACATTATTATAAATTTCCCAATCACATATATAGTATGGCATGGACGTACGTACGCCCGGGAGGCACATGAGGGTAGTCAAATATTCCAATCGGTTCAAAATTATAATAATTTAAAAATTCCGAAATTCGTGTAAAGTATTGTATACTAATAAAAAATTGAATCATGGACTATTTTCAGTCTTCTTGAATTGAAGGTATATAGGTATAATATTTTTGGCAAATTTGGGTTGGTTGGTATTTTTTCATCGAAATCAAATAAAAAGCATGGCGAACCTTAAAGCTTCTACTTTGAGTTCATCCCTGGTAAAGTGTTCTTATTCGTAACTTAAGAAATGAAATTATCCATTTTTTAATGTAATAAGTTTTCAATTATTGAGAAGAAAAAATTTCCGAACCTAACCATTAAATATGTATATATATGTTGGATCGGATTTGCTGTAGCTTCAATTTGATCGTTAACATCACCTCTGCGTGACGACGATATTCTGAACTATCGGAATTAAAATTACAAATTCACTAATATTTCTTTGTTCAAAAATATTTCCCCAGCCGAAAATCGTTTCGGAACGTGAAGGTGGTTATTCGAAACTAACACAAATTTTTTAAATATTATTGAACTAATTCAAATTCTATATCTATATATCAATGTAATCAGATAGAGACTTCATATTTTTGACATACATGATTGGGATAATACGCCATACAACGTTTGTTCCACTTTCGGTATTTAGAAAATAAACGGGCTGTAATTGATCCGTTTATTCTGAAAGTGGTTTAAGTCCATTTTATATTGAGATATTTAAAGTTTTGGGTTTTATTTGTTTCAAAAATATTGTTACGAGATACAAATTTAGTTCGTGGGTTTGTTCCCTTAAACATGGTAGAATATATACGTAATATGTTTTGTAAACTTTCCTAGAAAAACAAGATTTGTATCATAACTAAACATGGACTTAAACCACTTTCAACCACTTTCACTTGACTCAATTGTAGATTGTTCTGTGAGTCCCATTGTTCTGAGGTCCCATATCACGGTACCGTCCATTTTCGGAATTTTAAAATCGCATTTTCCAAGCGAACCACCTTTTATTTGGGAAGTAACAAATCTTTGTAAGTCCATATTTTGACAAGCCCATTTTAACATTGCTTTTAGCCTTGATTTGTAGTTCAGAATTCGTAGATGTTTAAAAATATGATTGCTAAAACTCTTCTTTTGCGTCAAATATTCATGGGAATTATAAGAAGCAATTTCGGGCTTCGTGGTAACATTTTTAATTTATTAACCCAGTAGGGGAGACTGAGCATATAGGCACATTCGGAAATCGAGTTTTCGATATGAAGCTTTCATTGTACATCATTAGCATCGATCCATAGGTATCGAATATCAAAATAAATAACTGTCACAAATTTGAAATCTCTAGCTAATAAACTTATTTAAATGCACGGGTTTTTGTATTTTTACAGATGTTTTTGTAACATTTCCGTTCCCTTACGTAAGTATTTCGTGTATAAAAGTGTTCAAATGTTAAGGCAGTGTTATTAAAAAGTATTTAATTACAATGTATATTCTTATTAAAATAATTAAATATATAATGTTATAATGTTTGTGATAGAAAAAATTATAAAAAATAACTATAAAAAGTACCTTGGAGGTAGATTCGACATTTTAAAGCGGGGCACATTCGGTTGGTGTTGTCTTTTAAAATAATCCTTTAATATGATTCGAAATGGCGTATATAAGACCAAACGAGCTTCTATATTCGAAAATGCGATGGAAAAAAATATTTGTGTTGGTGCGTGTGGCCTTAAGACGTCAATATCCGCCGCTAGAAAATATAACCTAAAAACTCAAACTTTGAGTTGCACATTAATACAACAGGGAACCTTTAGAGGATCTGAATTTCAACCAGACTGCTAGCGGCGGGTAGGGACACATTCAGCGAAATTGACTTTTTACAAAATTGTAAGCATTTTTGACTAATACTAATTTATTATATGTTTTCGGTACTAGTTTTTATAATTATTTATCGGACGACAATAACCAGCCATAAAGTTTTTATATCTGTTGAATAAGTACTGATATATCGAGCTCTAAAAATTGCAGAATGTGCCCCAGTCTCCCCTACGTATACTAAAGGTCTTAGTCGATATTTTAAAATTGAATATCTGCAATTTTCTTATTGCAGAGCCTATTTACAATAGTACACACCCCATATAAATGTCCCAACCGGTTGTAGTTATTCTGAATAGGCATATTGGTTACACCCTATAAGAATAAAAATAATATAGAAAAGAACTTTTCTATATTATTTTTAGGTCCTATCTTGAGTTATATTCTTCCAAGTCATGATGTGGATTGAAAGAAAATAATTTTAGTGGCGCTAAAAAAGTTTTTTAATCAGTTATATTCCTACAATTTGAATGAAAATTTGATGTTAGCAACATAAAATTGTCAAAATAAGTATGCACATGTTCCATAAAGGATTTCTTATCCAATAAAATTTATGTAAACAAAAACTACATTTTAAAATGAATGTGTTCCTTCTTGAGTGAAAATATATTTTGTTGGTGAAATCGTAAAATTATTGATTCCACCAACATTGGAAGTTATGATTCGATAAAAATCTAAATTATAGTCAAAAAGGGGCTAAAATATATCTCCTTATTCTCGAACACATTAATACTTACTTGCCAAGAATAGAGGAAACAGCTTCATTTTGTTTGCTTCTGGTGACGTTAACACAGTAATCCCAAATAAAAAAAGATAATCCAAAAGGTGGACGATTGTAGCGGTTTTTTGTTCTTTCTTCTTAATCCAAAAGGAATTTTTTTAATCCAGAGAAAAAATGGGTCAAATGTGATGATAATTAAGAGCACAGCGAACACTTCTTATATTCGACACTTAATCTGAGTTATTACTTTTTTGTTTTGTTTTTGTTTTTTTTCCGTTTTTTTTAAACACTCTTGGAGCGATTAAACCATTTATTTTTTTTTAATATTCGTATTTTTAATTAATTTGCTTTTGTTCTAAACAATTTCATTCAAAAATCACGAAAAAAATATTCAGATAGAAAACTAAATATTTTTCAAAGAGAAATAAAAGTCATCAAGTCTAGCGCGAAATCTTTCCGAGTCATAAAACATACACGAATCACAGCAAATTGCAAACTGATCGAATCGATACAAACCAAAAAGCCGACAACTGACTGACTGACTCTGGCCGTTTGTGTTGATGATGGTTGTTGGTTGGTTGGTCGATACGACCGCCCGATCGACGTTGCCTGCCGCAAGAGAAAAACGTTTTGTGTGTGTGCGCGTCTGTAGTGGTAGGGAATGGTGGCAGCCACGAAACCAACAGCCAGACCGGCTACTCAGACGATACGACGAAAGCAGCGAAATTACTTGAACTGTGTGGATTTTTTGTAGTAGTTTTCGTCCGAATGGAGGGGATAACCAACCATCAGCAAGTCCAAGTTCTTGTGGCGGACACCAAGGGCGATGGGTGGCTGGCAGATTGTGTGTAGAAAGTTCAAACGATTGATGATGCTGACCGACACGCCAACGTTTTTTTTTCTGGATAGGTAGTTGGTAATGGGAAACGTTTTGCGATTGGCATTCAAAGATACATAGGCAGTTCAGAAGATGATATCCTCAGCATCACGTAGACCACAGCAATGAAAAAATTCTTTGGGAAAAGGTTCAGTTAGAAACAACGTTGTTTGTTGGATGCTGATGTTGCCGGTGCATGAGTTTATCGATCGAGATGGTCAAGCGAATTTGACTTTTTTATTTTTATTATAGGCGGCTTTTTTTGGTTTTGCAAAATTGATAAGCAATGAGATCACCACCTTCGATCTTAGCGGGAATTTTAAGGATTTTCAAATAACTGCCTCAAAGCGGATTAAAACTCTGTTAATGAATTACGCTACGACTGGTCAATGTTTGCCGGTTTTATAGTCATCTTACCACCTACATTCGCGATTCGTTCGGCCACAAAGCCGAGATGTGTGGCATATTCGTATATGTTACGATACGATCACTACCGGCATTTTTCATGAATAATGTATGGATATTTGCCACACAAGATGTCAGAGAGTCGTTGTCATTATTGTCACGCTTTTCCACAATGGAAAGAAATGTAGAGAACAAATGGGACAAGATATGCTAATCCATTCATAATTTCCACCACCTCTATTTACATCAATATGGGAAATTTCTATCAAGGAATGGTATGCTTAGGTATGCTAGAAGCCATGAAAGAATTCTTGGAAAATTGAGTGTGGGGGATATGTATATAAAAGTGTGTCCAATATTTCAGTTAATAATATTTTATGTTAATATTTTTTCTTTAAAAGGAATGTTAGAGGTTTGCATGCTCAGAAACTACTATCTTCTGAAAGGGCATGACAAGAACTAAATATAAATATGGCATATGTTTCTTTAAGGTAGCGCTGATTTTGGTGTACGAATATTAAATTTCCACACCAAAAAACCCAATATCATTGCGTTAAACATCTGGTTTCAGGTAGAGGTTAATTGTAAAAACCGGTCGGATTTTCCGATGGGAAATTTTGTGCTGTTGTGGGTATGTTTAACACAGAAAATCCAATTAAATTGTAATCGATTTTTAATCGATTTAACCGCAAACCTATTACAAATTTCACTGAATTTTACGGATGAAATGAAAATGAGCCAATTTGACTCATACCAGAAAATGTAGTTTTTTGTGAAGAAAACTATTCCAATTCAATTTTAATGAAATATTATGTAAATACTCGTTTTCAAGGGAGAAATGTCTGTTGGCTGATAAATGCCTGTCTGACTGAATAGTGCGAACGATAACTCCCGATTTAAACCCAACTTTGCATATCGTAATATTTCTTCCAGGCATAAATCAAGCTGGAAGATGGATTAGACATCAGGCCACTCCTTCAACAGGGTCAACATTTTACTAAAAATAAATTTATAATATCTTGGGAAAGAATTATTCGTTTTGCGCCAAACTTTGCATAACCTAATATTTTTACTTAAAATTTATCGTGTTCGCAGGTGGGAATTATTGGTCCATTCCTTCTGGTACCACCCCACAAAGTGTCTTTATTTTGAAAATGTGTAAATAGTTTACAATTCGAAAGCAGTATTGGTTTCTGTAAAAAGATTATTTTTTACACAAATCTATAATCATATCCGCAGATGTAGCCTATTGTTCACTCCTTCTGGTAACTCCCCAAAGGGAACTTAAAAAATTATAAATCTGTATAGATTCTGAAAATGGGTTATATGAATCCACTTCCTTAGGTACACTTGTCTTTTTCTCAATTTTTTTCTTTATACTTTCATAGACCCAATAAATTTCAAAAATTCTATAAAAGCTAACCGCATAACTTCATGCTATTATAGAAGTCAAATTGGCTCACAACCGTAAAAGTAGGTATACAAATTCAATAATCCGAAAAAGGGGAATATACAATCATTCAATGTATATTCATATATAATGACTTTTTAAGTGGACTCATTCGGCCATATACAGAACTGCTAGATTATTTCCATAATTTTTTTTTTTTGGTTTGTTTATAAAAAAAATAATATGGTTCGAAATTTTATAAATAATACAAAACGAGCTTCTATAGACGAAAATGCGATAGAAAAAAGCTATTTGTGATGGTGTGTGTGGCCTTGAGACGTCAACGTCCGCCGCTAGAAAAATATCCTTAGAAGTCAACGATTGAGTCGCATATTAAAACAAAATGGAACGTTTAAAGAATCTGAATTCCAATTAGACTGATAGGAATGATAATTACCAGGATATGCCTATGGATGCCGAAAGTGTCCTATCAAATGCCGAAGCTACTCCGGGTCACATTCAGCGAATTTAACATTTTTGACAAAACTGTAAAAATATATTACTAATACTAATTTATCATATGTTTTTGGTACTAGTTTTTATAATTAAGAATCAGAGGACAACAATCAACCATAAAGTTTTTATATCGGTTGAATAAGTACTGAGATATAGAGCTGTTTAAAAAAGTGCCGAATGTGCCCCACTCTCCCCTTATTTGTTTTGCCCCTCTTCCATAATTTAGTTTAAATGTCCCGATAATTATCAAAAAAAAAAAAAAAATGTAATTCTGTGCTTGTGCGACCCACCTGAATTTTTCCTCCACTCAAAACACCTCTCAAGGCACCGATGACAGGAGGAGAAGGTCTTTTGTCAGGATTGAGGAGATAAAAGAAAAATCATAGTGTTGGTTTTAGTCAGACTTTAAAGGCTAATATGTGGACTATGTCAAAACATTCACTTCTGTGCCAATTGGAAAATTCCGCCAAGGGTGTTTTGGAAGCCTTTGAAATACCAATGATCATCATCAACATATTCAAGACAGGAACCTGTATTCGAAAAAAGCTAATTTAATCCTCCAAATTGATTGAGGAGGATTGAGGAGATAAAAGAAAAATCATAGTGTTGGTTTTAGTCAGACTTTAAAGGCTAATATGTGGACTATGTCAAAACATTCACTTCTGTGCCAATTGGAAAATTCCGCCAAGGGTGTTTTGGAGGCCTTTGAAATACCAATGATCATCATCAACATATTCAAGACAGGAACCTGTATTCGAAAAAAGCTAATTTAATCCTCCAAATACCTATTTGTATAATTTAATCCGACATTTTAATAAGAATTGGAGTGAAATCGAAAAATCGGAAAAACAACACCAATAGCTTAAATAACACTATGCAATAGCTTTTTTTGGGGTAGAAAATTGCCTTGAACAGTATATAAAGAATTCAGAAGGGCAAATTCGCATGCATGTTTTTTCTGATATCACTATCACTGATATCACCAAATCTGCCGAATATTATATATAGAATAAATACAAACTCATTCTTATCAGTCAAACACTTAAAATTGTGATTACATACATACATATGTACAAAAACTACAATATTATGTACATATATTTTATTAACACAACTATTATATTTAAAATATTAACTTATCATTATCTGGGTGATGGCTAATGGAAGTCGCTGTGTCATCTCGGCTAATATGATGCTGTGATTGGTCAATTATGCCGTCATATTGATATTTTTTCAATACAAATATAAACAAATTGAAAACAAATCTGTGTGTAATAAATATTTCACAAATTCACAGCAGTTCGGTGACGTGAATAATGAACTACAAAATTCTTTTTTTTTTTTGCCGATTAGAAGCTGCCACATGTGGCCTGCTTTTGGTTGGTGGTACTCCGTCAAAAAGTCTGTACGCATTCCTTCTTTTGTTGGTGTTTTGTTATCAGTAGTGGGTTAGTTATTCTTAGTGTGGTTCAAAACGCGTAATGAACATCAAACGATTTATTTTTTAATGATTTCACATACTTTGCAGTAATTAGCCTGTATACCAGAGTGGGTAAAAATTTCGGAAATAAGATTTGAAATAATACAAGTGACATATAAGAATTCATCCCATTTGGCGACCCACACTAATATACCATTGCAAAGGAAGGATTATCAACATTAATGTGTTGGGAAACAAAAAAAGCAAAAATTCTGAACATACATCGCAAATTCTCAACACGTGCGAACGAATATTCAATTCAGCGAGCATACATTCCTTACCGAATTGTTTATGAGCAGAACGCTATTACTATTTAGTACATTCCTGAGGAAGATTAATGTTCTTTTTATTTTCTAGGCATTCCAGAAAAACTTTGGTGTTTATAATTAAATTGGCATTTAAAACTCACCTTTCTCCCAAAAATATTTAAAAAATTCCAAAATTTATGTTCTGCTGCAGTGATTTGGCCTAAGGCAACATTTTTTATTGGATCTTGCAAAAACCTCTTAAATTTTTCTCTATAAAGTGCCAAGAAATTGTAACAAAACTAATTTATGTGTATAAGAAGAACAAGACTAGGAAGTAAATAATAATGTTGTTGTTGTAAATATGTATTCATTTTTTTAAGTTTGTAACAGCAATGCCACTCCGGCCAGTGTCCATTTTCCTGGTTTATCTTTGGTTTTCAAATTGAATGTCCACACATAGGTTGGTCCACGGGTGCGGGTCTTATAGACGGGACATTCGTACATGTTGCGTAAATCTTGCTTGTCTTGTGTAATGGCCTAGAAATGGAGAGCAAATAAATGATTGCAGAATTCGAAATGAAACAAAGTGACGACTGCCCGACACGTGAAGTCAGTGCGTCGCCAGCATAAATGAATTTTTTAAATTACTATTTTGAAATTTTAAATATTTGGGTTTCTTTTCGTTTGTGAGCACCTACATACATATGAATTTGAGTGTATATCTATCGCTTATTCGCTGGAGTTGATTCTGCTGTAGTTTGTTATTCTTGAATAATAGATTTTATTCGATTTTTCAGGATTTCAAGAATTTGAATTTTTAAAATTAAATGGGATTTTATTTTCGGGTGCCTTTTATAGTGGAGTATATTTTTTATATTCGATTTTATTTGTGATAAAGAAATACAAAAAAATTGTAAGAAATCAGTCTTTTATTCTGAAAGTTGTTTAAGTCAGTTTTTTTTCCATTTTAAACCGCTTTCAAAATAAACGACTCAAATGATGACGGATGAAACAAAATTATTATACCCTAAAAAAAGAATATAGAGGTCGTGCCACATTTTAGAGATTTGGATGACACTAGGCTCTTTGTCAAAAGAAGTCGCTATAGTTTGACTTTCTGGGTTCTTGATCGGCAAAAAATTTCACAGACAATTGTCATTATGGGTCAATTTTTTGACATAGTGGCCAAAAACTGGAAGTGGCCAAAAAACTGGAACTGGTGGAAGTCCTTGCCGAGTACATAAAAACCAAAAGGGAAAAAATTACCATAGGTTAAGTTTTGGAATTATATGATGATTTTTTTTTTTTTTTTTTTGATAATTCTAAAGTTTATGATGAAAAAAGCTTAAAATCATTGTTTGAGAAACATATTCTCCTTCTATTTTCTAGTACCGGATTCAGTGAGCAAACTTGTATACAATGTTCGTTACAAAAATCTGATTTATTATCCGTAAATGCGTTTTAAAATTTAACCATCCGGATCTGTCTTTAGCGAATTAATTTTATTTACGTTTTATCATATGGGCTTCATCTTCAAAAAGAAAATTTTCCATGTCCATTACCACCTGCATCATGCAATTCAATGGAAATCTTATTACCCATTTTCAAATTGTACCAAATTTAGTACACATTTGTAGAAATTTCCGAAACTTCCTACAACAGTGATCCTATCTTCAAATTTCAGGATTTCAGCTAGATTGGTTCAGGCAAAATTTAATTGTACCAAATTTAGTACACTATAATACGAATTTCCCAAACTACCAACATACCTCAATTCTACAATGCAGTTGTAAACTTATTTGCAAATTTCAATGTTCCAGCTTTACCGGTTCATCTAAATCCAAATTGTACCAAATCTAGTACCATTTAGTACACATTAGTATATATTTCCAAAACTTCCTACGTACCCCCATCCTAGGCCCCAATAGTGATCTTAACTCCAAATTTCAGAATTCCAGTTTTGTTGGTTCACTCAAATTCAAATTGTGCCAAATTTAGTACCATTTAGTACCCAGTAATCTTATTTCCAAATTTCAAGATTCCAGCTCGGTTCACACAAATCCAAATTTTACCAAATATAGTACCATTTCCAAAACTAATTCGACCAAATTAAGTACAGTTTAGTAATTTTTGTATACAAGAGTAAACGCTTTAAAAACCATCATTTTGTATCGATCCTATTTCTTAACCTTCCAAATTTTAAGTCTTTCGCTCTATTCATTCACATGCTACGAAATTGCACCAAATTTAGTATATTTTAGTACTTTTCGGATACCTAAAGTTCTAATGTCAAAAAAACCCCTTTGTTACATCTATTCTAGACTCCATCGGTGACCCTCATTTCAAATTTGAGAGTTCTAGCTCTACCGGTTCGCCAAATTCGCATGTAACGCAAATAAGCCGGGCCAATAACTTCGGGCGAGATTGAATATTTGAAATTATTATGCGTTTAATATTATTTCCATAATGATCGGTATCTAATTCTACTGTGGCACAACACAGTAGAAGTAGATACCGGTCATTGTATAGAATAGGTGACGAAATTGTTATCCATTCTAATAAGCAAAACAGCATCTTAATCACGCAAATTATCCATTAAACAAATATTTTGTCTAGTCGTCTAGCCTATTGCAGATTATCTCTCCTATGTATTTATTAAATTGTATCTTAACTACAAATTCTCAGAATTACAACAATGTAAACAATTTTCTATTTAATGCAATAATAATTACCCGTATATTAATAACCGGCATTGGTGGATATAATTCTTTGAGACGCGATTCCATAATTATACCCTGCTGTATGTCCCATCTGGCGCCTTCCATAAATATGCCATGAATGTAGGCGCCTTCTCGCGGCGCAGATCTGTAAAGACAAGCAGCAGCAACAACAACAAGACAAAATTAATTAAAAACTATAATTTTATTTTCTCAATAAAAACAAAACTATAAACAATAATTATTACATGAAACAATAGATTGTATGCTTGGGTGTGTGTTCGAGTGTGAGGAGATTTTTCATTCATTGAAAAGTATAATTTAGCTTTTGGTTGATTGTTCTCCCCTTTATTACAAATTAAATATTTTTCTGTGTTTCTATAAATAGAACATTTATCAAATTTCAAATGTTCAGCACTGAAAATAATCGATTAATTAGCTATGGCCACAACTCAATTATCTAATATTGAGGGGGATGCTGCCAATGGCGACAAACTTTTTGGGGCCAGGCACAGTGGTTGAAAAAAGGTGTAGGGTTTGTCAAAAAATATTTTCAAGTATGAATAGAAATATGTCAACATATTTTAATTTTATAAATATTGAGGACTTGGCCTTAAGTTTTACTGAAAATATTTTAATTTTGTAATCTCTAGAAGATCTCGATTTTTTCAATTTCAAAACACTATGCCAAAAACTTTTCATTGAAACGAAATAAATGTTGTCGTGAGAAAAATCTCTCCAGCGATCGTGGTCGCCACAAGTTCAGTTCAGTTTTCAATTTCGTGTTGTTTTAATTGATGGCGAATGGAGCCAATGTTCTAAATTGATGACGACGCTCCCGTCAAAGATAACGACGAAATGTCGCCATTCAAATGTATCATCGTCGTCACTGTATCTTCTTACTTTTGTTGTTGTTGGTTATGTGGCGGTAATCTGTCGTGTTAAAAATCGAATAAATTTCATTGCAATTTTTGTGATTATATATTCCTTTATAATTGTTTTCAAACCAAACAACCTTTGATGTTTGCTTTTTTCCATATATTTCATCAAAATATTATTGTTGTTTACTTCTTAATGTTTAGAATATAGGTATAAACAAAATAAAATTAATAAATAATGTGACAAATTCCGAGTAATACTAAAATGTTATTTTTTAAATTATTCAACAAATATTCCAGTACTCAAAATCTGGAAAATGATAAGATTTAAAATATACCATTTAAGCCAGAGCCAACAATCATTGTTTCAAAATATTGAACATTTATGTAGGTGCGAGGGCTGCAATATACACTGGTGGCCAAAACTAAAGCAACTGAAATTGCAAACTGAATAAATGATTTGAAAATATAGTGAAAGTTTATTTCCAGAAATGAATAGGTATTTTGTTCACTTCTAAAAAAGCAAATTTAAACTCAAAATTTATTTTATAATAAAAATATTCTATGGAAAACTAAATTGACCCAATTTGTGCATGTTCACAACTAAAGCAACTTTTAGATTTTAATTTTTGATAGTAATCGACAGCATAACCATAATTTTTCATTACGGCAGCACGCCTACGAGGCATTTCATCAAAAAATGCCCAATTTGATCCTTGAGTATACTATTCCCTGCATCCTGAACCTTTGGGAAGAAGTTATGTCTGTTTGTTTGTGAAACTCTTTTGATTTTGCTATCCATGATACTCCAAAGATTTTTCTGTAGGGTAAAGATCTGATGATTGTGTTGACCATTATAAAACCCAAAACCAATCGTTGGCATGTTTTAGTTTATGTTTGGAGGTTATCAACATGCTGAAACACCCAAACAAGTGGTATACTTTCTTTAACGAAGGGAACTATAGCGTTTTCCAACACAATTGTATAAACAATACGATCCATTACTTCATAAATCTCGTAAATATATCGAACTCCATAAAAAGAAAAACAGCCCAATATCATTATTGACCCTCCTCCATGTTTCCCAGTATCCTTGCAATACTCTGACATGAGCTTATAATTTTTGGACTTTCTCACGGTATTTTTTTTTCTTGTCTGAGTCTTTAATATTTAACTTTATCTTTGTTGTATTAGTTCGGCTGTAGGCTTTTTAAAAGTAAAAATCGTTTTTAATTTTGATTTTTAATGTTTATTGTTTCCAATATTTCGATTGGATTTTCCAATCATCCTCAGGGAACTACAATTACATATATTTTAACAGAATTTTGAAACAACAATAACAATATGTAAATAAACTTACTTGAAGAAAGTTATGTTGTCTTTAAGTCAACGTTCTTACTTCAACTAAAGTCTACCAGATTTGTATTTGTTTACTGTGTGTCTATAGATTTGAGCGCAGTTGTCTGTGTCGGTTTTATAATTGAGTCGAGTGTCAAGTGGAGTGTTGATTATGTGCAACATCTCAAGAGTAAACCTTTTTTGATAATTACTTTCTTGAGTTAGAATTTTTATGTCATTAAAATCTGGGGTATGTCCTGTTTTTGTGCAGTGTGCTGCAAGGGCTGTTTTTTGCTCTATGGGTTTGTACAGAGCTTTTTGATCCGATTTATGTGCGGATATTCTTGTCTTTAAAGTAGTGCCAACATATACCTTTTGGCATACGTTGGACTTGTCTCCCTTACATTTAATGCGGTATACTACGTTGGATTTATCCTCGTCTTGTATTTTACTTTTTAATTTGCTGAAAAGATTATTCAGCGTGTTTGTAGTTTTAAATGCCAGCTCAAATTTTGTGTTGTCGTAAATGTTAGAATGTTTTAATCTTTCTGAAAACCCACGTGTATATGTCATAGTTTTGTAAATTTTCTCGCTGTTGTCGCTTGTTTTCTTTGTCTTTTCTTTTCTTGCTCGTATCATGAGATTGTCAATAGTTTTGTCCGGAAAATCATTTTTCTTCAGGATCTTCTTAATTATATTAATGTTTTTGTTGTGATAGTCTGGATGGCTTATGTCTAAAACCCTATTTATGAAATTGGATGCAGTGTTGATTATTGTTCTTCTCGGATGTCTAGATGTAAAGTTAATCAGTCGTCCCGACGCTGTAGGTTTCTGGTACCAGTCTAGTTTGAGATGGGGTCCTTTTCGTATCACTAGTGAATCCAGGTATGGCAATTGGTTGTTGCTTTCAAGTTCCATAGTAAATTGTATTTGAGAGTTGAATGAGTTCAAGATGTCCAAATTATCCTTTATTTCGTCTTTTTTCATGACTGTAAAAATGTCGTCCACATATTTGGTCAAAATCTTTGGTTTTGTGTACATTCTCTGAATTGATGAGTCCAGCAATTTCTCCATAACTATGTCAGCTATGACAGGGGAGGCTGGAGAGCCCATAGGCATACCTTTATTTTGTTTAAATATTTTGTCGTCATATATGAAATATCTTGTGTCCTTTATACATAGCGTCAGAATTTCCATGAACAATTCTTTTGTCATAGATGTATATGTTTTAATTGTATCCCACTTATCTTCTATGGTGTTGAGAGCAAAATTTACTGGTATGCTAGGGAAAAGTGATACAACGTCAAATGAAATTAAAATTTCGTCGGGGTTGATCTTTATGTGCTCAATTCTTGTTTTAAAATCTTTTGCGTCTTTTACGTTATATTGCGAATTCTTTGTCAGGTTCTTCAATATGTTGACCATATATTTACAAAGATCGATAGCTGGGGAGTTAATTGTGGAGCATATAGGTCTCAAAGGGGTACCATCCTTGTGAATTTTGGGTAACCCATAAAATCTTGGCGCAGTTGATGTCTTATTCGTCATTTTATATTTTTCGGTTTCATTAATTATCTTTAATTCCACTAGAGAATTGTTTTTGTTTTGTAATATGTTCGTCGGATCTCTTTTTAAGCGTCGGTATGTGCATATATCTCCCAAAATTGCTGCCATTTTCGTTTGATATTCATTTTTGTACATGGCTACTGTTTTCCCACCTTTGTCCGCACTGGTTATGATTATTTCATCCGAGAGCATAATATTACTCCACTGTGTCGAATTTCAATTAGTATGAGCTTTTGCGAAGGCAATCGGGCCTTCCGATTGGTGCAAAAGCATTTTGGAAAAATATATAAAAAAGGCAACACATTTGAAAATATTTGGATTAAGATCAATTAATTCATTGGCAATATTCTTCAGATAATATATGTGGGATAGTTTCCAATTTATTTGAAAAAATGCGAAATTTGATTAAAATAGAAAATTTGCTGTATATACCCAAATTAGATATAATTTTTAACCATTAAATATCGACATTACAAAAATCTTTTCTACTATAACTAATAGTGAAATTCGAAGTAGACTAATTTTGTCTTTGACGAAATACTCCTTAATTGACGTCTATATATTTGGTACATTTATTATGCAAACCGATTTCTTTTGTTCGGTGACTTATACTAGCATTTGATATTTTTGTCCTTTATACCATTCTTCTAAAACATCAACTAGTGGTAGAAGTTGGTCCAACTCGGAATAAGACCGGTTTTAAAACTAAAATTAGTTTTCATAATTTCAAAACTTTTGACGTTTATGGTGATCTTCGAGTTCGGTCTATTCTGACACTTGCTATAACCCCGTTTTAAATGAGTTACCAATAATTTCTGGAATAAGGGACCGAAAAAACCCCTTCAGAGAGTCGACTGAAGTAATATTACCAAAATACCATACACCTTAAAGCAAGGATTTCGAGGAATCTTAATCCGAATATTTTCAAATGTCTTTGATTTTTTTTTTTTTTTAATTTCCCTTTAATTATTTTTCGTGTTGCACAGTATAATTAGTTGAAGTGCGTGAAAGGTTTCAAAATGTTCTACAATGATATACACTACAACGGAAAACCAAATTACAGACCCATAGGTTAATGAACTATTGGAACTATTCCGAGAGGGGAACGATCGGAACTAGTTCCAGCTCTTTGATTAATATGTTCATTTTTCTGATCTCATTCCTTTTCTATTATCGAGATCTAGAGAACTTCACAGGAAATATCGATGGAGTAATATCGATATGGAGCAAAGGAGCTATATTATGTAGTTCCTTTAAAAAAAAAAAAACGCGAAAGATCGATCCCCTCGTGAACAAGATTGCCCAACTCCACCTAATCACCTTTACCAAACTATCGGAATTTCCGGCACTAACATTACTACCCTGTAAATTGAAAAGTATGGATTGAAAATGTTTATAAGAATATTTTCATAGTCTCTTAAATCTTTTTGAATAAACCTTATTTTTATTAGGTTCCCTATAGACTAAAGTCTACTTCAAGTTTTCGTTACACATTAAAAAAAAAAAAAAACAACAACAGTAAAATGAAATTTTCTCAATAGCCATCAATTATCGGTCATGATTTGAACGACCTCAGATTGACAACATACAGAGCAGGAGAGGACCAGTATGTACTGAAAAGTGGGCGGCGGGGACAATGTTCTTCGAAAAGGCCAAGTAAAAGTGTCAATTAAATAAAGAAGCAAACATATAACGATGTACATATATACATACATTATTATCGTTATTTTATTATTAATGGGAAAGTGTACGATATGTCGCCACTTTCATTGTCGTTCGACTCTATTCCACACACACACACTCACACCAGGCGATCAATCGTTTGATCGATCGGTCGATCAATAACCATTTTTGTTTATTATTAATTTAAATTTCAATACTCACGTGAAATCTTCTTTTTGTTTCTTGGTCACATCACAGACCAGACACATTTTGTCCAATGGCAGCTCATTCTTCCGGGCTGTACTTTGCATAATTGCTGTCAACAGTGATTGTGGATTGAAAAAGCCAGCCAACCAAACCACAGAGGGAAGCTAATGGGGGGGAAACAAATAAAATGCAATGTTTCTCATTTCATAGCATTTTACTCCATAACTTACCACAAAATCGGTGGACCATGTCTCCAATTCACGTAGACGCAAACACAAATCAATAAACCAATTATTCAAACCCAATAACGAGGGATAAGCACGAGCTGCCCACGATGGTGGCACCTGATCGAGGAATAAAGCATTTTCCAATATCTCCATATCCGAGGTGGTTGTCAATTCTCCTTTCAAACCCAAATCCAATTCCCTTAGGCTACGTTTCATTTCACTGGTCAGATAGTTCATACGTTCACACTCTTGGAAGGCCACAATGACATAGGGTGTTCTCTCCTCCACCTTGTTCATAATTTCCACCATATTGAATTCCTCGGGTAATTTTTCAATTATTTCATCAACAATTTGTTTGACTTTATCTTCTCGGGTCACCGTGGCTCCACCACCGGCTCCAGCATCCCTTGGCTGCATTTCAAATACTGTACGGAAAACGTTTTCCGCCCTGGTGGTTAAGAAACCAATTTCAGCATTTGGATGTAAACCATATAAGTAGGGTGACTCAGCGGGCATATTCTCCTCAATGTAGTTGTGATAACCCTGATAATCGGTATTCGGCGGTGCTGGGAAACCAGGAGCCAAAAATAGCTCACCATCCACCAAATCTGGCTGCATATACTCTTCCAAATACATAATACACAACTTGCGATCCCAATCATCCGTAATATGGCCACCGTACATAATCTCACCGAACAGATAGCGCAGATCCTCCCATGGTACCTTGGCATTGGCCTCCAGATAATTGTACAGAACCGAAACACTTATATTCAAGTCTCCAACATTAAAGGGGTAGACCTTATTCCAGCCCTGAGGCCCAAATTTGCGACGTTCCGCCACCACAGCATGAAAATAACATAGTGAGAAAAGTATAGCCTTGAATTCAGCTTCCTTGCTAGACATTTCCAGGGTCTCTTGGGTGAAATTGTCCAAAGCTTTGTGGAGATTGGCCAACATACCTGTGGGAGGTTCGTTGGTGATTTTAATGGAAGATTCCAAAATGCCCTGGAAGAAATTAAATACAGAGTTAGAATAACGAAAGCGTTATTAACAGTAAAGTATATTGACCTGTGGAATAATATGGGCTGATGGTGTTGAGGCCGGTTCAGCACTCAAGAACATGCGATAATCCTCATGTGATCCCTCGGCATAATATTCCAATTTCTTTTCCAATGTGGGCAGCCATTTGCGCACTAAGTGAATGTTCTGCAATACCACCCAGTGTCCATTTTTAGCAGCAATATCCATTGCAGCCTCGGCTATGGCTTCTTGGCCTTGACCCAGTGAGACATTATGGAAATTACCCAAATCCATACTGAAGCCTAATTGTTTACCCAAAGCCTCTACATCTTTGAGGGGATTAACACCAGGAGATAGGATAAAGAAAATCGGCGTGGAAGGGGAAGCCTCTTCATAGGACTTGGCGAATTCCATGGCACGATTTTCAACGTATTTCGAACCAAGCTTCTCCTCAATGAAGTCCCTGGAGAAAAGAAAAACAAAATTGATATAAAGCTGAGTTTACACAAGGTAACATAAATTGGAGCAATTCTAAACTTCCTTTGTGAGAGAAGTGATCGGAATGGTAATCCTCAGTTTCACTCACGAACTGAGAGTTGTCAATATATAATAAATCAATCCATAGTTCTTGACTTACGACAATGCATATGTCATACGATCCGGCCTTAAGGCCCTTATCATGCATAGTCTTTGCAGTGCTGTCTTATTTTTCCATTCCTGTGGAAATTTCTCTTTTTCCGGCAATTCCGATTCCACTAATTTTTTCCAACGTTTCGAAGATGTCTCTATGTCACGATCCAAATTACGAAATTCATCTTTGGACGATAGACTGCATATTCCGCCCCACGATTGATTCGATAGAAAGTCGACGGGACTTGTAACATGGGGTTTGATCGGGAAGCGGAGTAAGAAGTCCAGTTCCGCAGAAGTGATTTCTTCGCTCATCAGTAATATCTGGAAAAATAAAAAAATAAATGTGAAGGTGTAAAAAGGATCTAACTACAATCAAATGTGATTGGCAACACAGACAATTGTAGAATTACACACTGATCAGCAGATTGGTAACACCGATTTTAACCATATCGTGCATCTATCAGCTGATTTTGTTTCATTTTTGTAACACTTACCTGGAAAGTCATCTGAGAGGTAAATATCAATTTGTCACACTCGAAAAGGCCTCGGGTGGTGTACTGGAACACTGAGTAGGTAATACAATCAATGAGATTGGTAACACGCACATCTAAGGTGTCTCCAGGTTCGGCTTTGGCAATGGCCTTTTGGAAGACCACACTAAAAGCCTAAAACAGAAATTGCATTCAATTACATTAAAACCGAGATTGTCTTAAGCATTGTCCTACCTTTAACGAAAATTGGTAGATCGGATTAATGGTGTTCAGCTCGTTGAGTATAAAATAAAGTAAGCTGGCCCTAGCTGCCGCAGGGCGATAATACTCACGAGCCTTGTCAATTTCTTTTGAGGTTATTTTAGCCTCAGCAACCTGGAAAGGTTATAAATTAATCAAATTCTCCATTCGTAACATTTATTTCATACCTTCCGTTCAATTTCCGAAGCTGTACTCTTAGTAGTTTCCAAATTCTCCACCAAGGCTGTGTCGCCCAAAATATTCTCTCCTGCTGAGGATAACCGTGATAGTAGATCATCTTCCAGTTTCTTCAACATAATTTTAAAGTCATTTTGTTGTTTTGTCAATTCCGCTTTCAGTTCTTCCAGATCAGGCCTCTCAGCCTTAACAACTTCGGCTAAAAGTTGATCTTCCAGACCATCGCGGGTCACAGTGAAGTTAATTAGAGTGGTTTGTGCTTGCATTTCTGGTTTGTAGTGAGGATTAGCTAATTTTGTGTGCAAGATTAAGCGGAAATTAGAATTGTATTCGATTTCTTTGTCACCGACTTTAATGGCTCTGAAATTATAAAAAAAAAACAAAATCAAATCTTTTGATTCTTTTCATGCTCCTGTGTGATTACTTACTTTCCTTTCTTTATAAGATTACGTCCCAGTAAAGAATCCAAGACTGGATCTAAATTCTCATCAATATTTTCTATGAGTACTGTGTGACCCTTGGTAATGGCTGTTTCAATTGTATCCAAATAACTACGCTGACCCATGCGTATAACCGTCAAGGAATCGCCATATTTCTCTTTGATCCATTTAACACCTTGCAACTGAGAAACGAACAAAATCAATTTCTTATATCCTCTTTACGGCCTTCCAACTCACCTGAGGATCAATCATCAATGGCCATCGTTCCGAATTCGATAAAATTGTGGCATTCTCAATACTCATGCGATCCGATGGCAAACCTTCATTGGTCCACACAGCCACAGTGGTATCATCAGTTAACAAAGATAAAGGATCTAAATTCTCTGTGGTAGGTATGGGTGGATCCAAGTTCTTCAAAAATGGTGTCCACATTTTTTGCATTAAATCAATGCGAAATTGTTTAGTGAAACATCCGACATATGAAATGAAGGCAGTTATCAGTAGAATATCTCCGGGCAGAGTGATACCTTGTTTGACAAAACTAGAGGGAAATTGAAACACGAATTAGGAATACTTTCAGTAAGTTGCGAATTCAACCTACTTATTTACAGCCTCAGCCCAGCGTACATTCTCACTAGCTAAGCCACCAACTAAACGATTTGCCAATGCAATGGTTGCCTGTGTAGCATCGGCCTCCTTTTGGCAACGCACTTTATCAGCTGTTGCCTGTTCGAAATCAGCTGTTAGCTTGGCCAGCTGTTCTTCCAAACTCTAAAAGGAAAAATTTTATTAAAATAATTGAGAGGATATTGAATGAGGTTCTATGAATAATGTTTAATAAAAATTTTCTCCGTGACCTTGGCACAAACGTTTTTTTTTTATATTGAATGAGGTTCTATGAATATTTTTTTATAAAAACACGTTCTCCGGCTTTTTATACAAAAATTCCTTTTCATTCCTTTCTTTCTGTCAGACCTCATCGATTTTTCTATTGTTCCAAGTTCCTGGATTTTCTAATGGGAAAGACATTTATTTCATCCTTCAACTTACCGCAACTTTCCTCTTAATTCCCGCCAATTTCTCCTGAGCTGCAGCCAATTCAGCATTTGCTGCTGCCAGTGCCTTACGCTTCGGTTCCACATCACAATATACCTCATAAAATTTAATAATATTTATAACCCAGGCACATAAACCAGCAGCGGCGCCCGACTTCGAACGAACAAATTCCGGTTCAAATTCTGGATCTTTAAGATACGGTTGTATAGCTTTAATAATTTCCGGATGTATATTTTCTTTATCGTATGTTATGAGAGAATCCAGAAAACTATCCACCTTGGCCATTGCAATTTTGGCCGCTTTCCATGAACGATCTTTGGGTAATTTACCACCCGGAGCCAACAGGACCATAACAGCAGCAGTAACATTTGTTACTGCTCCCGGAGGAGAACCAAAAGATTTCAATTCTGTTAAGTTGGCTTTATTCAGGGTATTCAAAGCCTCTTGTGCTGCCACCAAAGCAGGTTCGGCCTTCAATAAATCTTCTTCGCAATCTTTTTGTTTCTTTGAAACTTCATCGGCAATTATGGCCACTTTCATTTCTTCCTCATCGGCCAAGGCCTTTTCACTTTGCACCTTCTCCGTTTCAATGCCCACAATTTCAATCAAAGCATCGGCTGCCTCATTTTTCTCTTTCAGTTCCACTTCCTGGACTGCAAGTTTGACTTTGAGGTCAGCAACTTGCACTGCTGTTGATCGCAATTTTTCCAGACCATTTTCCAAACGCACAATTTTTCTTTGTAAATCTTCGTGTTTGCCATTCAAGAGCTTCAGATACAGGCTAATTTGTTCCAGATAACTTTTCGGGGTCGTATAATTGTAACGACGCTCATTTTGCAAATACACCTTGGAGGTGGCATTCACCGAGGTGTGAACATAAGCCATAAATTTGGCAACCGAATCTCGATGATGATCTGGTAGAACTTCGTTTTGAGACAAAAAGTTCATGGCCACGGATATGAGAGCTTCCTGCGGCCATTCGTGGAACCAATTGATCGAAGTGGCATTAATGATGGAGGGGAATTTCCTGGAGCGTACCCTCAAGGTTGAGCCGACTGGTGAAAAGCATAAAACTATTTTCAGTTGTTTGCGTACGCGATCGATGAAGAATTTCCAACAATTCTCACGGGTATCGACCAGGCCAGCACCTTTGACTTCATTGCGTACCCCAGCAATTATGTTCTCAATTTCATCATCGGGAAAGAGATCGGGAATTTCACCCGTGGACAGCATGTCGTTGATTAGGACCAGAAAATCTTCGCTGGGTATTTGGGCATCGGTCATGAGGAACATAATGCCGACATTTTTCAAACCAGATTTCAAATAGAGGCCGGAGAATTCATTCTATGGGAAAGTGTGTAAATTACTTCATTACGTATTCACAATTTAAATCTCGCGGTCAACTCACCTTTAAATCACTCACGCCATAGCCCTTTTTCAATTGAATTTGGACCACCTCTAAACTGGATATAAACGCCGCCAACCTTGACAATGACTGTTTGCCACTGCCGCCCACACCCACCAACAATGCACTGCCCCGCGGCGACTCCAATATCCGATTGATGCGGCACACATGCATCATGGCATCTTCGAACAACACCAAATTCATGGCCGCCACCAAATCATTATATGAAGACATTGCCTCCTGGAGGAGTTTGTGAAGCTCAGTCCATGCCGGTATTGGCATATACTTAGGTTCACCAATTCCTCCAGCGAAATGACAATAGATGTTGGGTTTATCGAATATCACCGATTCGTCAATTTCTTCGAAGGATTTCTTCACAATGTCGTGCTGCATTTTCGTAAAGCTATCGATATCCTTTTCATCGGTAAGCTTATCGGCATAGACCCTTTGCGTTTCGTGCTGCCACAGGCGTATCAAATCTGTGGGCATAGGTAGACAATCAGCCGAACTGAACAGCAAGCCCTGTAATTGAAATTAAAAATATTTTAATAGTTATTTGGTATTGGAATGGAAAATTGCCTCTCAATCCCTAAAAATATCGGTTATTTTTTAGGGACTGAGAGACAATTATCAGTCATTAGAACTGACTTCTAAAATCCCCAGTAACTGAGGTGTGATATTTCATCTATTCTAAAAATTCTTAAGCCCGATTAAAAAAATCCGGGGCCTTACGACTTTTCAATATTCTCATCCTTGCAGATCTCAAAATTTGCAGATTCTCACCTGGAAAACATTACTTATATCCCGCAAATTAAAGATGTAATGTGATTTTATGGCTGTCGGCAAAAACACCTGCGATGCCTTATTGTGAAGGGCCAATGTTGCTGCCACAATATTCGGCGTCATTTTCATAACCACCGGATTGAATTTTTGCTCTGCATTTGCGAAATGTTGTGATAAAATCGATGAGTACATCATTGTAATGGACTCCGTGCCGGGAAAACTAACAGCCAGGACACAGAAGTGTCTCTGTAAACGAGGATTTATGGTAAAACTACCCGCTGTGGGATTCATGGCAGCTACATATTGACAATTATGGATATCCTTTAGCGTCAACTTATTACGATCATACCAATGGCCATAGTCCAAATGTTGACGCATTAGAGTATGAGGTTGCACCGTGCCATAACAATCCACCTCTGGCATATTCATATCATCGATAAAGTAAATCAGGGTTTTATTTCCGGGAGGTCCATAATTACGACCCGCCTTCTTTTCGAGGGGTTTCTCGAGGATTTTCTGTAACATTTCCGATGTGGTATAGAAATTGAAGGGTATCGTGGCCACAGCATAATTTTCCGACAATGAATTTAATTTCTCGTTGATTAGCACAGTTTTGCCACATCCCGCAGTGCCCACCAACATGACCGGATGTTTCTTTTCCATTAGTAGATCCAAGAAGAATCTAATGCGTATGGACTCTGAAGTGTGGACCAGTACTGCTTGCAATGGCAAATCACCATCCAATTCAAATTTGGGTATTTTCTCCGTCCATGGTAGGAATTGTTTGGTTTCAGTGTCCAAGTAATAATCGAAGACAGTGCCTCCTGTAACAAAAATAATATTAAAACTGCTGCGAATGAATCATGAAATGCGAACCCACCTTGTGGAAATTTCACCGTCTTGAATTCATTAACCCACCATTTACTAAACTCCACACGATAGTCAATGGTTTGATCCTGGAACATAGCCGAACCGAATGCCCAAATGCAGGCAAAAACAAAATACAGTTCGTGCCACTCTTTGGGACAGTCGGCTGGTGTGTTAGCCGGGGTCAAAAAGCATTCCAGCAAATGGCACAACATCTGGATGTGGGCCATCTCAGCAATGGGTGTGATCTTCTTAAAGCGCACACGTATCGTTTCCAGCGATGCCGGGATGTATTTGTCGAACAGCATTACCAAATTGGATTTTTCCGAGGGTATCTTGCGGGTCTCCACCCAGCTGGTTACATAGCTTCAGCAAAAGAGGAATACATTAATTGAATGCGATTTTATGTTTATGTTCTTAACTTACGGATTCCATCCCAAATCCTGCGGATTAATATACAGTATACCCGCCCGGGACACCGTTGCAGGAGTGGCTGTTCTCAGATTCGAAATCTCAAAGAGCAAACGCATCGAAGGCGTCAACGCAATGCGCTCATTGCTGGCCAAAGTCAAAACTTTGTTGTCATCCATTACGGTATTCAAACTCTCAATCCACATGGGATCTATGTCACCATCGAGCACAATCCACCTGGGTTGATCGCCCGTTATGTTTGCTTGATCTCTCATTATCACCGAGAACAGACCATCCTTCCATTCCCTCGTTGCTGGATTGATAATGCCGAAGAGTTCGTCGTTGGTCACCGCCTTCGGATTCAAGTCATTAAAGATGGGTTTCCGTTTGATATTCTGGTAGGTGCGCAATAGGGTCTTCCATACTTGGGTCTTACCCGTGCCAGCATTACCAACAATAAAAACGGAATGTCGTACTTCCAGCAACTCTTCCAGTTGCACCACCTTCAGTATGAAGGTATCTTCGGTTTGCAGTAACAAATCGGATGCGGCTTGTTTTACGGTTCGTTCAAAATCTTGATCACGTTTTCGTGGTACATCCAAGGCTGGGAAGAGATCACTGATGAGACCCATAAAGACCGGCATATCATCGGTGACAATTTTCGGTATATTAAAATCACGTAGTGCCCTCATGAGTACTTCCTCTTCGGGCCGACCGGGATCACCACGCTGGAAAGGGAATTGGGACATAAATCAATAATATTTATAAATACAAAAATAATATATATATCGTACAATTTGCTGGGATGTGAGAACTGAGAATTTAAGGTCGAAGGTATCTTCTTTTCTACATAACAAAAAAATTCTCTGCCACTTTGGATAATTGTCGTTTAAACACTTTACAGATACTTCTTTATCAAATTTTGAAATGCCCAAATCCCAGCAAATAATTCCATTGCAATTGCCAACTCACCTTCAAAGAACCCGCCACAACCAAAACCGACTTGATAGCCCTCAAACCCCAATCGTAGTGATCCTGTTTGGACAGCAACTCCTTACACAGCGTATATAGGGTAATGAATTTCCTCGCCAGTACTCGAGCATCTTGAAATCCTTCGGCAACCAACATAATTTCACAAATTAATTCAAAGTCTGGAACCACCATTGCACATGGGCGAAATAGCGCCTTCAAATTCTCCGGTAACTCGGTACGTCCTGCATAGCCGGGATTCATTGTAATGAAAATACCCACCGATGGTACACAGGTGATGATTTCACCCATAAAATTAAATTTATCCTTTTTATCGCGTATAGCATCCTGCACCGACTTTACCTGTACGGCAACCACCGACAACACCTCTACTGTGATACGATTAAATTCATCAAAACAACCCCAGGCCCCGGTCTGGGCCAAACCTTTATAGATATTGCCACACGACTGGTAGTCCATTTGTTCCGAACAATTGAACACGTAGACCATGATACCTATGGCCCTTCCCAAATCCTTGGTAGTTTCCGTCTTACCCGTACCGGCCGGTCCAGCCGGACCTCCACCCATTACCAAGTGCAGACTTTGAGTCAACGTTATGTAGCAGCGATCTGTCAACGGTGTAATGACAAGACGTGGCGTATTACCTAGATACTCGTGATTGTAGCGGAACTCAGCATCGCAAATGTTAGCAAAACAATCCTTCTCCACATCGTCGTAACGATGTCGCAGTTGCGATTGCCACATGAAAGCCGAACCCGAATCTAACTTGGCCTGAATTATCTTTGCTATGACGTCGCGGGAGTGAACGTCTATCGTGCAGATGGTCATGATCTTCTGGCGATCTCCCTTCGTGAGTTCGCCCAGCAGCAGAGTGATCAACAGACTCAGCTGAGAGATCTGCTTCTTGTAATAATCCTTGATGGCATTATCGTAACCCTCTTCCAGGCGGCTGAACGCGATGTTCACTTCTGTAGACCACCAGATCTGTGAGCCACAGAGTGATACTTGGGCAGGATAGTCGAATAACCATTGTTCACGTTGCTTTTCCTCATAGGCAACCACGGCGTCGCCGATATAGTGACGCAACGAAACTCGCATGGCTGCCTGTATGCGGTTAAGCCATACTTCTACGGGACCTCGCATGCTGGTCACTTCGTGAAATTCCACATATTCGCCATCTTTGGCGTACATTCCCGAGGCGGTCTCAACCTCATTCTTGTCGTCGCGATTAAACTTCAAGCGAGCGATCGAATCGAAGAGCTTGGTCAGGTGCTTGGTCACCATGTCCGGTTGAATACCGTTACTCAGGATGTCCAGCAGGTCGGCCGACGACACAAAGTAGAAACGAGGAAAAGCCAAACGTTTTGTTTCCAAATACTCTGCCAGCGCCTTTTCACACAGTGTAAGCTCCTTTTGCAGACTTTCCAAGCGTTCAATCAACCCGGGTCGGTTGGTGGATGTGACGACATTCGAGGAGTTTGCCATTTCATCCATCAGTATGCGGAATTCGGCATCGATGCGATCGAAGCGATCCGAGTCGACTGGGAGCTGTTTGCGAATATCTTCCGAACTCATGAAGATACTCTCGAGATGTGTCCAAGTGCGTTGCACCTCGAACCAAACCGTTATTACCTGATCAGCGATCATCAGCTTATTCTGCCACGCTGAGACCTCTTCGAGGAAATGAGCGATGTACTTGGATGTTATGAGATTTTGGAGACAAACTTGATTATCTTCGAGAGTCTCTATGAGTTCTTCCGAGGCTCTGAGGAGATTACATCCAGTGCGTGGGTGGAGTTCATGATCGAATTCCATCGCAGACCATGTTGTGTTCAGATCCCTGAGGATTTTCTCCATAGACATTTCCTTGACGGCCTTGTCTACGATATTCTTGACTTCTTCTTCGCACTCGTGCAGATTCAGGCCAAGTAGTTCGGCTAGTGTTGTGTCATGGTCCATTATGAATTTGACCTAATGGAAGGGGAATTTGCGAGAGAGAGAGAGAGAAATTGAATTTGTTTGAATCGAAACGAAATCAATCACTCCATCTATTTCGAGTGATAAAACACAAACACAAACACACGTACACATTGAGAGAGTGAGAAAGAGAGGGAAACAAAATGCTCATGCAAATTCTTAACATAATGGATCATGCAGAGCGTTTGCTGGTTTTTGGTTGGTTCGGGTGCTATACAAGTTTCTAGGTAAAGGTGCAATGCCACAAATAAATTAATTGATTAATAAAATAATACAAACACACACACATGCTCATGCAAATGTTCTAAATGATATAGAGAGAGAATAATAAACAACAACAGGACTTCACATGCTAATGAGAGGAAGAAATAAATTTTCATTTTGTTGTGTGATTTTTCAAAACTTACGGTTATCTCCTTGGGGAGCGCTGCTAAACTCTGTAGAAATTTTTGGTTTTTTGATATTTACAAGAATAGAAAGAATATTTACACATAAAGATATTTACAAGAGGAACTTATTATCTAAGAGTTATGTAGTTATGTATATGGGATAGGGAACTAGAATGATTGTGTATTTACAAATACATGCTAATATCCTTCTTTCGTCTTCTATAAGGATATTTTTTGTTGCTTTATTATGACAAATGTGGTGGTGATTTTCTGAATTTCAATAATGAACGTTTTCGAAATCCAGAAAAGAGAAAAATGAAGAAGGGGCTGGATTCGGAATTGCACAAAACATATAGGACTGTCCTCAGAACATATATGATAATATCAATTCTGCCCTCAGAATTGGAGGCTATTTTAGGATTTTAACAAAAATTGGCCCTACGACTTTTTCTATAGGAAGAAAACGATCCCAATTATTTCGATTTAAATTATTCCCTAATAAAAATATTACCCTCCACTATATAGTATTGCAATCTGGATGAAACCTCTAATATTTACAATATATCGTATCAATTGGAATGCAATTTTAGGTCCAGGTTTTGATATAGCCTATATATAGGGGTAGTCCCAAATATTCAATATTTTAGGAACTTTGGAAATGAAATTGGCTGTTATTTGGTATATTACCAATTATTATCAATGTTGGTCCACTATTTAGAATATAGAATTTAGTATTTTGGATCCACATAGAAAACTTCCATACAACGAATGCTCAATATAGAATCAAGTTTCGGGTTAGATCCCATATAAAGGTATTCCACGAATAATGTGGGGTGTATGGTACGTTTTTCAACAGAATCGGTTCTAAATTAATATTTCAGGTTCTGATTGGTTTAAAAAAAATAACCATGGCATATATCCCAAATTAAAATACCGATTAGATGTGCACCTTATGGTGTAGGGTTTAAAGGCTCGGCAGGTCCAAAAATATACGGGTCTTCTCGGCACACTTTAAATCACAGATTAGCCTCAGCAATACCCATTAAAAATTAAAAAGTTAATATAAAGATCTATATAACCTTTAGTTCATTTATCTATCAGAAATAACACCACATTTGTTTTCTAAAATGTAGTAAACTATATATGATAATATATAATAAAAATATAATCGGATATTTACAAAAACGACGAATTTCAAATATTTTCCAAAAACATATTTACATACATTCCAATTAATTTAAAATTCGCCTTAGATAATGCATAAATAATATTTGAGATTAAAAAATAACCTTGGTTGAGTTCATCAATTGATTCCAATGACGCTCCCTTATTGCAGGATTTTGTAGTTCACCCACAGCTCGCAATGAGGTCAACATATTTTTTACGGTTGCCTCTAAATTTATGAAAGTGTCCCAGGAACGCATTTCCTTATCCAATAGACGAATATCCTTCGCAAATTTCTTACACTCGATATCCATGTTTTCAACATCCACTTTGCGCCATGGTGTCGTCTTCCAATCTTCAATGCAGGTTTGGACTATGAAGACATAGTCCCACAGTTGCTGAATAATATGAGATTTTTTATTAACAACATAAATAATTAAATGTTGAGCATAAAAAATATTGCAATACTTGAGCCTTGTATGCACAAAAATAAAAAATATAGGCTTTTAGTTAAGAAAAAAATCACATATTGCATTAGAGACCCGTTTCATAGGTCATTATTATCAAAAACCAAATATTTCTAAAAACACCTCCTTTTCCATAGAGTAGAACTTACCTTCAGCATGCGCAACTCCTTACGACATTGCTTCAATAGCTTAAATTCCGGTATATTAACTTCAAATAGCCCACCAGATTCCTGTATCTCAGCCATTTCACATTCCAGCCGATACATATCGTCATTGATGCGATCACACAACAGATATGGCTGGGCGCAATCATAACGAAAGAAATCATAGTGTTTGAAGGTATCACGAAATTGCTGAACATAAATTTCAAATGCGGCAACCTTATTACGAATGCTAACCACCTCGGTGGCTTGCAGCGGTGACACCTGCTGTTTCACTGTACTGGCAATTTTCTTCGTATTTGCCCATTGTTCGGGCAGTTCTTGCAACAACACATTCACCTCTTCCGGTATATCCATATCGTAGTATTTCAATAGCTGTATGGTCTCTTGCATTGGCTCAAACATTTCATCGGTTTTTACGGCACGCTCTTTAACCTGCATCAGATAGGCCATAATACTGACCAAACCCTCGTAGTCACCCTCTTTGACGGTCTGCAGTAGACCTTCGTCTGCCTTGCGTATAAAATTACTCAAATCCATGAGGTTCGAAGTCACCGTCGTCACCAGATGAGTCTTGAACATGTTGCCCCACTTGCACACAGTATTCAGCAAAGCCTGTCTGAAGGGACGCACATCGACTTGAAACCAGGAGCTGAATACTTGAAAGGGTGCAATATCTTCAATTTCATTGTACAGACTTTCGTAGTTGTCGATCTGTTCGCGAAACGCCTCTATGGTGGGTGGACTGGGCTTGGGGGCTGCCGCATCGTTCAGCATGACCAGTTCGATTTCATCGGCATCGAGTATGCGACCATACTCCAAAAAATATTCCATACACTCATGGCGATCGTCCAACCACAAATACGAATATCTTTCGAATTGCCGACAAAACATGGCCGCCTCCTCCATTACCAAATCCACACCATTTAGAATTTCCCTACGCATATCGATAATATCCTGATTGGCCTTGATCATATCACCGTAATTCTGCTTGACATTTTTCTTAAGGCGTTTCACGAGAGTTCCCATTTTCAGGATATCGCGAACCAATTCGATTAGCATATTATTGAAACCCATACTGTCGGCAGGATTCAAAGATGGTACAAACACCATATTTGGTTCTACCAATTCCAGTCGGGCCTCAAACAGCGGAGCATAATTATTTTCTGGATCCATATTCTCGACAATATATCCGACACTAACACCGACGGTCTTTAGCAAATATTCGTAGACGATGTTATCGACAAAGTCCACATAGTTGAGCCACATTTCATCATTTTGTTTATCCTGCATATCGAACTGAATCATATTGTCGTGTAGTAGTTCGTGTATTTTTTCTGATGCTTCTTGAATTTCTGCATAGCGTTTGGCAGTGCGATCGGGTCGCTCATCTATGCACAGTACAGCATCTTTTTTGCCATCTCGTCTTTCGAACAATGGCTGGCGAACCCAAACGGACATTATATCGCGAATTTGTTTGAGATTTCCCTGTGTATGATCCATGCGATTTTGAAGAGCAGCAACAGGTTGTCGTAACTTATTGAGATAGGTTAGAATGTCTGTAACAGCATCATGGAGAGAGATAATGATAAAGAGAGGGAAATAGACAATTTACAATACATATATAGGGGAAAACAAGTGTGGAGATGACAGTCTTTCTTCAAAAGTAGTTCCAAAACAATTAAAAAAATATATTCTTTATCAAAAATATTTATAAACAATTTTTTGTATATTAACTCGGTTTGTTTATAAATTTTGTAATGAGATTCCGTCCTGTTTTTTGGCGCCCAACCTTTTTGAACCTCCCATACGAGCATATTTATGTACTCTTAATGATTTTTTCCTTATATTATTTCATTATAATTTTTATAATCATGAATTACAATTAATGCCATATTCCAATGAAAATCACCTCCTCCCAATGTCTACGTCTGCCTATTCACTTTAACTTACCTTCCGAATTCCATACCAATTCATTAATGCCAACCTCAACCAAATCATCGATCTGTCGTATTTCCTTCTCAATCATTTTCAATTCCACCGTAGAACTATTCTCTTGAATGGTATTATACCAATCAATGGTCTTTTCCAAATTCAATGTGTACGTGCGGAAGACATCACCCTTGTCAGCGAAATCTAAGGCCACCTGCGGTACACCTTCAACTTCCATTTGCTTTAGGTAATGTACCTCACGCAATATGCAGAATAGTTCGGCACTAAAATTGAGTATCAATAGATTTGTACTGGGATCACGTTTGATCAGCGACTTTTCCAGATTTGTTTCGATTTGTTCATTTAGTTTTTCCGTCCATTCCTCGAAGACATACGAACGGCTGGCACCGATTTTCAATAGCAGGCGTTCGTAACGTTTTATAATATCCAATGATTGTTCCGATTTGGTTATTCTAAAAAAAGATTAACATTAAATTCCAGGTACTTAGCAGAGTATTGTGTGGAACTTACTCATGTTGCAAGGCCTGAAATTGTTTCATGGGTATGGTTATCCTCCGTTCCAGCTGACCACACCAGCGTATAAATGCCGCCGCCGGTGGACAATTATATTCGGGATATAATGTCAAATTATCATATCTCATAAACATTTGTTTGTCATAGATATCTTCACACACTGTCAGCTCTTCGTCCAACATCCGTACGATCTCGGTATATTTTTGTGTAAATTGTTCCTTGATCTTGGGTCTCTCCAATACACTTCCCACAATGTTAATAAGCTGTAGAGGGTGAAAAGGATACAATATAGAAGACAGGTGAACAAAATATTAAATTAAACTTTCGATCTCAATATAAAAGAGCCTGGAACATATAATTGGCGCCAATTTGTCTAATCAAATTAAGGAAGTATTGTTTGAAAGCTATTTTAAATATAGAGAACTGGCGCCCAGCACATCTACGAACCCGTCATAATTTTAAATGATACAAAAAATATTTTAATATAGAGAACTATTGTAATTTTTATATTTCCCAAATGTCATAAAAATGTAATTTGGAAGATCCCAAGAAGGTTAAAGATCCTACATTTTCTAAAATACTTACTAGAAGTTCTGAAGAACTACTGAGATGGAGGTACAACAAACGATTCCTCCGGGCTTTACAGGGCTGCCGACTGACTCATAAGACCTATTGTGATCTTATTATTTTGTAAAAGTACCGGTCATCAACAGCATTTTTATATTTAGAATATATATATATAAAAATAATTATTGGCGCCCAACGTTATATTTCTTGCAAATATAAGAAATATAATCGACATGTAGGTTGTATCCAAGCTAAAGCCACATCGTATCATTTATTACATTAAAGTAGAAAATATGACATAATTTAAACACAATTGGCGACCAATCAAAAAAGTTCCTCTTCGTCTACTCACCTTAAAAATACTCTCCAAATTGTAACAATCGTCGAATGCCTGACACAGTATCGCGGCCAATTTCATGTCCAACTCTAGTATACGCATTTGAAAATTTTCAAAATCCACATCGAATTCAAGATCATCGGGATCTAAAACATCATAACTTTTCGATGCGAAGGCCGTAAAGTATTGATTGAACTCAACATAAACGGCCGTAATGCGTGTACTCAGTTGGCGACCGCGTAGACCACCGATTTCAACTTTCTCCAGCTTCAAGAATTCAATCACCGTGAAGAAGAACCTGTGGAAGGAGCAAAGATAAATATGTCAAACGATAAAGGAATATAAAAATTAGAAAATAATAAACAAAAGAGAATTATAAAGATTGTAGTTCAAGCTCAGATGCAGTGGCGCCCAACGGTTCGGAATATGAAAGAAACTTTGAGATAGGAACACAAGTGCTAACAACGAACTTCTGTGTTCGATATAGAGTCCTAATACTTTTAAATGCAATGAATTTAACTTATTTTTAAAAATGTCTAAGGTTTTCTATTTCTATTCTATTCCTATTAGAGTACGAAATACTCAGGAGTTTAGTTTACGTGGCTTTGATTTACTCGAGTTTTGCTGCACACAGTTGCTTTAAATTACTCACCATTGAATCGTAGTCAAACGCTCCAGAAAAGCATTATAGCGTTTGAAAACTGAATTAGGATGAAAAGTCCAATGAATCGGTGGCCTCTCCTCGGGCTCTTTAAAATAATCGGCAATTTTTTCCTTGTAGTGATCAAAGAGAGCACGAAAGAATTTCAATATTTCGATGGACAATGTCAGTCGTTGCATGGCTTCATCTATGTCGCTGTGGAATATCGAAGAGGGATCCAAAAAGCGTTTGGCCTAAAATACAAACACTAAGCAAAAAACTGAGCCTTAAAATAATTTGCCATACATTTACCTGATGTATAATCAAATTGCAGATCTGTCTAAGTAGTATTGTGATTTTCGACGAATGATTATAATAACGGGAATTACCCCATATTGTGCAGACCACATGCATTAGTGGTATTAGATTAGGTTTACATTCAGCAAAATCCATTTCCTCCAATTGTTGGACACATTTCTTCAAAGGATTCAGATACATGGTAATGTCCTTGGCTTCAGCAAGTGCTGGAAATTTCAGAAAATTTAAATTTTAATATCATTTCACTAAATAATATTATCATCTTACCAGTAACTACATTTTTAAATAGCGTTTGAAAGCATGGAAAATATGCGCTACGTGAATGTTCCAAAACCAAGGCCATGGCCCGAATGCGCTCATTACGCAATTGCTCAAAAATAAACGAAAGATTTTTCAAACGATTATTCCAGAAAACAAATTCCGTTGTCGGTGTTGGATTTTGACCATTTAGGAAGGCATTTGCCGGATTCTCCTTGATGACTTCATGGACCTGCGTGGCCCATTTGATGACCACACCTTCGATGGCACTTTTCAAATACAAATCAATTTGCAATTGTGGGTTTTCACTAATTGCTGCGGCGGCTTTAACGATTTTCTCAACACCCACTGGCATGGCTAGGATAGTCTCACCGCTCACCTGACCCTTAACCTGATGCACGGTACTCTTTAAACTGTGGACATGTTTCTGGACATCTTGAGCCACCATAAATGGCCATTTCTTGTAATTGATCTCATTCGATAGCAGAGGTACCAAAACTTCCTCCACCAATGCCGACAACTGGTCAATTGTCCGTGTGGCCAAATCACCGCTGATAATAAAATGATTACAATTCTCGCGGGGTATTGGCTCTGGGTGCTTTTTAATGAAATAAACTCCCTTGCTTTTCAGTTGTGTCAGTGGAAATGTGGTCGAAGGCAATAACTGTGCAGATTGTGTTAGAATAATAATTAGGACTACTGGTGTTGGACGATCAAGGAATTCTTTTATAATTCCCTTGGTCTCTTCTACGGTGATGACACGTGTCCATTTTTCGGGTTTTAATTTTAGGGATTTTATAACAAAGGAACCCATTAGCTCCAAGCGTGGATCTGGACCATTACCAGCTGCCGCTGCTTCGGCGCTGGTTGAAGGTCCATCCATTTTGCAGGAAGAAGAAGTAGAAGATCTGGAAATTAACGTAATTATAATTAAAATCTCACTAATCCGGATTATTAATTACACAAATATAAACTTTATATATAATAGGTATCATTTTCACTAAAATGGGTAAAGTTTTGACAAACGCTAAAAAAAGGCTAAGGTCGATTTGTGCAAAAAAAGTAAAAATGCAATCGCTGTACTACAAAAGTTGTATATGAGATCGTCACAGTTGACGAATTATTGATCAGCCGGCCTGATTTGAAGATTTTCAATAGAAAACCTAATTCTACCGGGCTGAAGTTAAGATTTTGTATAGAAACCCTAATTCAGCCGGGCTGAATTGAAGATTTTCTATAGAAAACCTAATTCAGCCCGGCTGAATTAAAGATTTTGTATCTAACGCCTAATTCAGTCGGACTAAATTGAAGATTTTCGACTAACCATTAAAATTTGTATATAACCCGTTTCGAATGAGTTTCCAAATGTATATTTTTTATAGATTACAGAATTATTAAAATAATATGATTAGTTTTTGAAAAGGACTTTCAAAAAATCTACAAATATAAATAATAATTATAAAATGTATTTGAATATAATACCCGATTTTAATTTAAGAGAAAATCATATTTTGTTCATATCCATAATTTTTGCATTAAGGAACCCCCCCCCCCTCGGTTTCAAAAAATTTAATGTTGTATTTTGATTTAATTCAAACCTACAATAATTCAAGAATGTCCCTATAAATTTTCAAATGAAAATCTCAACAATTTTTGAAGATATAGCCGATTTATTGTGCTAGCATCAAATTACGGCAAGAGGGCTTCTCAAACTTAAAACCCATTTTTCTCCAAACAGCGTTGTTGCGAATGGCGGGCACGATAACTCAAAAACTAATAATCCGATCGATTCCAAATTTTGGCACGTTTATCTGTGAGTGTATAGATATCGTATGAACAAGGATAAAGCCAATCGGTGAAGTCCTTACACCATTTTGTTAATTGTTGTGCGAAGTCAATAATCCTAGTTCATACGAGAACCAGACATGTACTCTTTCTAACACCGTTGGAATTTTTGGATTCCGATGTTCCAGTGAGGAGTTATCATAAGGACTTTTCTTTAATCACAAAAAACAACAACGTTTTGAGATAACCATCATATCACCACTCAATGGAAAGTTATTTTTATAAGCTTTAAAATGATTTTATATTAACCGGATCCGTAGAACCAGATATAAGCGTGTACCCGTAACCGAACTTCCGAGTCAAATGATCGGGTAATCTGGTACGTCCCCCAAGAAAAAAATATATCCCCATAATAAAAATAAAAATACCTACCTCTGAAAAAAAAATTCAGAAAAATCAGATTGTATTTACTAAACTAGAGTTGTTCCCATATATGTTAGGTAGCCTCCAATGGAACCAATCAAAAATTCAAATTTGTTGTCCTCAAAATTGGTATTATTTTCATTTCACTTTTCACAATTTTTCGTAGTCGCCCTGTTACGATTTCAAATATTAGATGATAATTGGCCATTAGTTATGTAATAAAAATGCTTTTTATATTTAAAAAACAAAATCAATACAAATCGATTTTAAGGTTGACATTATCATATTTCGTATCCTTTCCACATGAGCTATAATGCATGGAATAATGACACGCACACACAACCGAATAACGATAACATTTTCACAATAACAATTTTTTCCAAGTTTCATAACATCGCAATTTATAATGCACAATAATTATTTATATAATATATATATAGAATAAAATTTATAATATATTATCTTACGAATTAAACTTTTTACATAACTAATTTTTGTAGTACTAATTTAATTCATTCCACACACATAAATACATACTATTTATTTTTAATCACTATTAATTTATTTTTTTTTCTATAATATATTATTACAATAATCACGTAATATTTAAATTAGTTACGCATATAACATATTTGTTACCAACGATTTTTTTTTATAAAATAACTATTTTTTATTATTTATATTTTTCTAATTTTATTTAAATATATTTTTTGAATTTTATTTAAATATATTATTTTCAAAACAACATTTTTTGTTTTCTTGGTTACGTAACATTCCGTTACAATTTCCTGTTATGTATTTGATTAACTTGATATTCACCTTTATTGAATTATTTTCTTTTTTTGTGTGTGGATTCACTATTTTAATTTAACTGAAATTTCAATATAACCATTTCTTTCACTTGGTTACATAATCTATTTTTTGAAGAATTTTCAAACTAACAAACTTTTCGTTCTCTTGGTTACATAACATTCCACAACATATTACGTTATTTTTTTCATTTCATTTAATTTTCAATTTTATTGAACAATTTTCCGTACATTTCTTTGCTTTTTATAAATTTTCTTTTTTTATTGAACAATTTTCCATACTTTTCTTTGCTTTTTATAAATTTTCTTAAACATTTTTTGTGAAATCTTAATTTATCAAACATTTTCTTCACTTAATTACATAACATACGAAAAAAATTTCAATTTATTCAATTCACTTAATTTTCGATTAATTATTGCAATATTTTCACTCTAAACTAGGTTAGTAATTAATTTCCCTGTACATTTACTAACAAAATTCATTAATTTTCATCCAGAAAATTATAAATTTTCACCAATTTTCACATACGATTGCATAACTTTTATTAATTCCATTTTCTTTCTTTGCTTTATATACTATGTATATATTTTCACTTCACTGTAACTTTACCTTTTACTTAGCTGTTGTGTTTAGTCAATTTCCGTTTCCGTTGTCTTTTGCGATTTGCGACTTTTATCACGAAAGGTTTCAACCGTTATGACAGGAAAACCTTTTTGCATTTCTTAACAACACTTCCTATTCGAATATCCTGTTGTTATTGTTTATTATTTTGGAACTTGGAGTCCTGCGTGTGTCATGTATGCATGTTGTCTGTCTGTCTATAAATAAATGTCTGTTAGTTTGTCCTGGTGTCTCCGTTTGTTTATTTATTCGGAAAACCTTAGCGTTTTTTATTGATGCTATTGCTCACGAAGCGTGTCACAACCGGCAGATGACACCAAATCACGTAACATGCAACTGGTGCAGGTGATAGTGGCGTTGTTGTTTTTGGTCCCAAAGACAAGTTAGCCGAACACCAAGGTTACGATCCATATAACATAAATTTACGATAATAAACAAAAACAAAGGGGGTAATGTAGTGGTTGGTTGTTATTTGTTATAGTAAATTTTTCGAGCACCAACGGCAACCCTAATCGGTTGGATTTTGTGGGCCAACAATGGAGAAACTTGTATGTAAATAAAATTCGGTGATAAATATGTTATAAATGGTCTGAACCGCTATATGGGACGTATCTCAAAACAGGCATCACAATTGTCTTTGAAACTAAGGCTTTAAAAACGACCTAAAATCAGTGGCTATGTGCCTTTTTTGAACCTTTATGAAACACTTACTACATGGAGATATTTCACCATCTCTGAATTTGATCCATATTTATGAATTTCTATTGCAAAATGTGGTATACACCTTTAAAATACTTCAAATTTGACCGGGTTTCAGTATCAAACATCAATGGGTGTGCAAAATCAAACAACGCTCCTCAAAAATATATCTTTTATTAGCTCATAATATTTTCAACTATTTCTTTCCTCTAGTGTAAAAACAAATCAGCTGCTTAGACCTGTGGATGGGCCACAACAAATATGCCTCGTTTATGCAAATGTAAATGAACTTCACATCCATTAACAGCAGTTAGGGGGAATGTTTCACCGGTTCAGAGTATATCCATCAAATTTATTTTGTTTATATTTTTGTTTTGTTTTCTCCTTTTTTGTTCATTCTCAACAAAATAAAGTTGCTTCACCTTAGTGTCAGAGCCGGCATGTACCTCCACTGTACCTACTATAGTATAGATTGCGTGTTTAAAACTAATTTCAATAGCAAATCACTTGATGCGTCTAAATTTTTACCGACTAACAAACAAATTCCTCTAGTCCTAGTTAAAGTTATTATGTGTATGTTTGTATATGTGTATGTGTACTTAGTAAAACCTCTAATAGTTATTATTAGCATAAACTTGGTATTGTTTTGTTTGCTTTACCAACTAGTGTTGGTCGTAGTCTGCAATTATTTAACGCGCCAAAGAGCGAAGTACTGCAGTTATTTGGCGCGATAATCTGACAATTCAATAATGGCGTTTTAATCGAATCTTAATTGAATTAGAAGTGAGAAGTTGTGGTAGTTGTTAGTGGCTGCCAGTATTAGCACAAAGTTTTTGCAAAGCGTTTGACAGGCAACCAATCACCTGTTGAGCTCATGGGTTCAATAAGTAATGGAAATAATAAATGTTTTATTTTGATAATTACAAACACGTCTTGGAAGAGGAATTGTAGTTTCAAAATAAGGCAGGCCAATAATTTTTAATTGTGATATCCAAATAATTTAATATTTAAGATTTTTAGGTTCATACAACCAACAGTGAACTCTCGACAATGCGAAAATCCAATACAGTGAACTCTCGATAAATTGAACTTATTAATGTCAGGTAGTTCATATTTTCCGAATTTGTTCACACTTTCGATTCGACCAGTTTATTTACCGCTAATTCTCTGTTTTTTTTTCAATGCTTTATTATCGAGAGTCCATATTCTTATTGGATGTGGTATTTTTTATTGGAAGCATCAGATGATGGCTGGTGATCTGGTGCAGTTGCAAAATATGATAATTAACATCTTTTTACTTCATTATTTTAATCGGTCATTTGGTCAGCTCAATGAAGGCTTTATTTACCTTTGCAATTCATTGACAGCACCAAAATACGACCACCCGTTTCATAATCTCCATTTATAAGAAGCTTGGGGAAGAAAAAACTCGCTTCTAAAATTTTGGAATTTTTTGCCCACCGGTAGTATTCAAAATCTGACCATTTTGAAGGCCTTCAGCTATAAAAAATGTAAAATTTAAGTTTATTGGAGATGTGTCTGAGACTTGTG